TTACTGTGTTATTGTGTTACATTTAAATTCATGTTTAAAATAAACATTCAAGATTCTTTGCTTGATTAAACACTCTTAGATGATGTTTAGTCTGCCTAGTAAAAAGGAAGGAAAGGGGAAAGGAAGGAAAGGGGGGGAGGGTGTCTCTTAACCTGATTTGTTCTTTGGTACACCACCTAGAGATCTTTTTTTATATATATAGTCCAAGAGCTTTGAAAATGGCTTTCATGAAATGTTGTTCTCAACAGCAATTTTTTGAAACGTTTTCCTTGGCAGAAGCATCCTATATTTTCTACTTGGATGTACATTGTGTAGATTCAGAGGAGACTTCAGTTGCAGCAGGTGGTTGGAGGGGGGGGGGGGGGGGGGGTTGATTTGTCATATACCAGATTACAATGAGGTGAATCTTGAGAATTCTGGGATCTGAAAATTAACTTGTTTATTTTTTTCCTAAAAAGATGTCTTGCAAAGGGGAGGCACTGTTACAACAACAGCCAAAAAAATGTATCCTGCAATCCCCAATCCTTCTGCTCTGGAATATTGAATTCCTCTGCCCCATAACTTGTAAATCAATGTGGGAAGGACAAGATTAAAAGCTATTGTAACATGTTAGTATAATGAAATTAAAGTCAGATATCACTTATAGACAGGGAAAAAAGATGAAGGACTATATGGAAAAGTTGACATAAATTGATGAATTTACATGATTTCTTGTAGTATTACGACAGTTTTATTACAGGCATGACAGACTCCGGAAATAATTTCATGAAAATGAATGATTCTGTTGAAGTGATAGGTGCACATAATGTGCATGTTGACATAGTGGTCGAAGATTATGCAGAAGTAAATATTGCATAGCAATGCTCAATAGGGAATATGCATGCATCACTCTGGCAGTATTACATAATATTTTCCCAGTTAATTCATTTAATTGATTTTTTCGTATACTCTAATTTAACTGCAGATGAAATCAACTGCAATATTTGCTTATTAGATTTACAACTAAGAATACTTTAGTATTATTAAAACAACTGATTCAATGGAAAATGTTTTTCTTTCATGCAACTTTGTAGGGAGGAAAAGAGACCAGTTAGGGGTGATTTTTCACAAAAATTGACTTCTAATATTTTAAATTTGGATAATGAGAGAATTTTTTATCTGAAAAAATATTTTTAGTCGCATGCCATTGGAAAATTTGAGATATTTCAAGCACATTTGTATTTATTATTCATAACACCAGGTGGCTTTTCTTGTGTGTGCCAGCTATTGATACAGAATTACTGCATTCCACAGATTCATTGTAAGAAAACATGATTATATTGATTAGAATCTGATATTTAATTTTTACAGGGAGTTATAATCTCTGAAGTGGAATAATTAAGAAGATTCTTTTACCATGTTTACTGTGCATTTTCGATGGAAGTTCAAACAATTTTCAGGAAGAAAACATGAACATGAGGATTATCTAATTTTTTTTACTTGTTTGTGTTAGATAAGAAAAAGTGTACTTTTGAATTTGAATATTTATCAATCCAGACTGATAGCAAAAACCTAGCAAGATAATTTGCTGTTAAGGGCATATTTCATAGATCAAGATTTTATGGGTGCTATCTTATTTTTGTAGTAATTACTAGCTTAACACCCCCTATGGGACTGTGTTTGTGGGTGGTCCCCTCTAAGTCTGATTTAAGCCCCCCTACCCCCACTGGGTGAGGGGGTAATGGCCCTTTGTCAGACTATGGGACTTTTCCACTGCATGGAATTTTTCAAGTTTGTAGGATCTACCATATATCTCATGTAGCGGTACATAAAAAGCTAAACTTGACATCAACCACTTTGGGTGTTTGATACTAGTTAACACACCTATTACAAAAAATAATAAGCACCCACCCTTCCCTATTTATCTATTTATGCACTTGATGAATTAATACTGTAAGATGTATAAAGTACATAGATGTTATTTAAAACTGACTTTTTGGACTTCCTTTTAAAGATAAAGTATGCTAGCATGCAGTCCAACATACTTGTAGCAAACTGCCAGTTTAATGAACAATTTTGATTTTAATTGTTATAAACATTCTTTAATATGTATTTGATATGTTGATAATGTGTTTTTTTAAACTACAGGGAATGAAAATTACATCACTGTAAGCATGAATTGACATTATGTGTTTACTGTAACCGCCTGTCTTTGTTACTGTAAACATTATCTAGAACTGACTTTTTTGGACTTTCTTTTAAAGCCTCCCATGATAAAAACTCAAAGCAAAAATGTTTTCCTGTTATTTACATTCATTTAATTTAACCAACTAATGGACGTTTAATTTTCATGGGACATGATTGTACTTAAGCTCCATTTACAGACATTTGCAATGATCGTTAAAGTCCATGATTTTATGCTCTTTGGTGCATCTAACTTCCGAGTTCTATTCTACTGGTCCTGGAAGATGTATAATAGGATGAATGTATTGTGAACTGGTCTGTGATAATGACAAGCAGACATATTGATTTTGGTGAATTCCCACCCTGGCTAATTACACTGGTTGTCTAGTCTGGTTGACCACTTGTGGGGTGATATAAGGTGAAGATACAAGAAATGGGGATAACCTGAAGATTTTTCATTTTTTGGAGAGGATTAAAACTTGTTTAGTGAATATATAATAATATTTAAAATAACATTTGATATAATTTTAGATAGGGGTTTAATCAATGGTTTAATTATTCTAATCATTTATGGCTTTATAATTGGTTCATGTTTAAACTTCCCAAAAGGAAAAATATAGCACATAATTAAGACATGCATAAGGGAATATATGTTTTGATTTGATTACTGTGTATTAATTAATCTAATAAAGTATCTCAGCTAGGGATCAAGCATGTTCTTCTGCATTATCCCAGTAGGATAGATGCTTTATAAAAAGAATTACAGCTATGTGAAAATTGATACCTGAAAGTTTTCCAGAGAGATTGATAGATACTCATGGATCTTACCTTACAAATAATACTCATGCATTTGTATGAGACACAATGATTGAAAATCATTTTGCTTTAGGTCTCTAAGTGGTCTATGTGCTTGTTATTAGCTTTGGTCGTTACTATCATCAAGACTTACAGTTTTGAATATAGGTGAGGGCTATAGTTAGATCAAGGATTAAGGTCATAAGTACATGGCAACAAAAAATAGTGTTACAAGCTAGGTTGTATAATATTAGTCAGAGAAAAAAACTTTTTAATGTTGTATAATATTAAAGGATGACATTTTCCCCCTAGGTTTCAGGTACAAAATATCTGTAAAACTTCTAATGGGCATAAAAAAGATAGATATGTATTTTTTTTCTGAGGTTATGAAAACAATAAAAGTTTGCAGTTATCAATCCTTGCTAGGGGATTCACACCAATAAGATGCTTCTTAAGTTTTACATTTGTAGAATTGATATTCCTTGTTCAATATTAAGCAAAAATTCATTATTGACAATTAAAATGAGCATTTTATGGTGAAAAGTGCAATTTTCTTAGATGTGAGAGTTTTCATTTACAAACTGTTAGCAACATGAAGCCTGGTCTGTATTCCTTCCTTCAGGAGACTTTTTGGTCAATGATTCTCAACATTACTATATTGATTCAAGTCAGTTTCATCATAAAACTGGTGCCAGAATCAATTAGGGTTTATATTGGATGGTTTTACTTCCTTTCCTGCTAAATTTATCCATAATTTTGCTCATAAGAATCTGAGTATATGTATAAAGATAATGTTATTGGTATTGACTTGTATTTGTGTACATGAAAAATGGAAATGGGCACGTATTGATTTGACTGATCAATTGCTTAAAAATAATAAAAGTATGGATTGAAAAGGTATGTGAATGACATTTGTCTCCTATAAATGTAATTACAAAAGTAAATTTGCATGACCCTGCATGATTAGTTGATGTTCAATGTTTGCTGAAAGTATATGATATACACCAATTTGTGACAGATGGGATTCAAAGAGAGATTTGTTTTCATTTCTGTTTTCAGACTGAACAATTAGAGATGTCATTTGTGAATTGGATAGTTCATCTGGTAATTGCATGTATTAGTTTCATTTGAATCATTCCAATTACAACAACTTTCTGACCAAAAGTTGAACCTTCAGTCGTCCAATCAAATGAAGCAGAGATTTTTCATTACTATTGGCCTTTCCTGCTTGCAGTATCATTTTCAGTGTCTTAATGATGGACTGGACTTGTTTAGATCCCAATGTAATGGAATCTTTAGACTTGTGATGGTGGCTATACTGGTCAAAGTCTTGTTCAGACATCCATACATGTAATGGATCTTTTTTCCATTTTATTTTTCACAGCAGTGCTGGAGGAGTTATTTATTTTTTATCAAGTTATATGTATTTAGTTGTATTTTTCTCCTTACACCTTAACAATTTTGAAAATGCCGTTGTGCCTCACTTACCGATAGCAAGGTAGTAGGTAATATTGAAGTGTAAAGTTTGTTGCTGTCATTAAGTTTCCAGAGGAAGTTCATCTTGTTTTCAAGGTCAAAGGTCAATGTTACTGAAGCATTTGTTGTCATCTTAGAAAATTCAACGTCTGCTCTTCAAGTCTCCTGTGTCTACGTACTGTATGTTGGAATGCTTCACCCATAGAGAAGCGAAGTGCAGTTTCAAAATAGTCATTTGATTGAAAAAATTAATAGTGGTTTTCAAGGTCAAATATCAAAGTTACAAAATATATTGGCATGATGATATGAATATAAGACTTTGAAAAAAAGGCAATATTATATGTAATTGATTTTCAAGTTGAAAATTCCATAATGTTAAAATTATTTACTGATGGGGAGGAAATATTTTTTCACTACACTGCTTAACCAGGAGACATTAACTTATTTAATTTGAATGTTTGCAACTTACTGAATTTGCATGTGAGCTTAGTATTTTTTTTCGTTACTTCCTTTTTTTTTTTAATCAAATCTTTCATTGTTGATTTACAATTTCTTTCTGACTTCAGGTGTGAAACAAACTAATGGAGTGGAATATATGAATGGTGATGGTGTGAACTCATCACAGAAAATGGATGACTTTGAAGCTCAGTTTCAGCCTGTTCCAACAGGCAAAGCTGTTTCAGGATTAGATCCCAATGCTAGTCCCTTTGAACCCTCGGGTCAACATAGTGATTTATTGGGCTTGGAAACAAGTGACCAGACTGTGCCCCCTGATGACCTCTCGGCAAACATGGTCACTGCCCCAGACCAACAGCCGCCATCAAATGATGAAGTGTTAATAGATTTTAGTGGAAAAGATCAAGCTTCATCCCCAGCTCCTCCTTCCAAAGGTATGAATAATTTATATCAATTTATCACTGTTGATGAAGTGGTTGGATGTTACTGAACAAATCCATTTTTTTTTTCAGACTTGTGTGACATGTTTTCATTAAATAAATCTCATTTTGAAGGTGAAGGGCATATAGACCCATTTTCAATGGATGTTGGACATACAGATTTACCCTCCTCTGAAGGAAGGCAATCTTTACCGCAAGGTATGGGTGTTAATGTTGAAGGCTCATTGGATAATTTTGACCAAGATCAAGGTGCTTCTGAAATGGAATGTCAATGTGATAATGAACCAGAAAAAAGTCTTTCGCAAAATGTGGATGAGTTTGCCCATTCACAAAATATGAACCTTAGTCTTTCTAATATTCCTCGTGATATGATAGAATCAAATCTTGCTCAAGAGGAGGAAACCGTGCCTATGTCCCATGAGGATCAAAGTGCATATCAGCATGTCTCATCCCATGAGAGAAGTTCTTTTAATGAACAAATAGTACCAGGAGTGTGTTCATGTGTTGAGGAACCTGAACCAGAAGTTTCAGAGGAGGAGGAGGTCAAAGAGGAGCAGCGTGGTGCTCCTCAGCCTCAACACCAAACTGAAGAGGAAGAGTTTGGCGGAGAGGAATACTATGATGATGGTTCTGATGGTTCATATGGTGAGGAAGAAGGTGGAGAACAGATGGAGTACCAAGATGGACAAGATGAGGAGGAAGGTGTGGTTTATACAGATGAGGAAGATTATACTGATGATGACTATGATGGTCCTGACAGCTACAGAGCAAGCGAAGAAAGAGAGGTAGTCTCGGACTATGATGGAGAGGCAAGATCTAGTGAGGAGCGTCAAATGTCAGAAGACATGGGGAATGTTGCTGCACAAACAACACCTACAACCCAGACAGAAGTCACTCATGTGGCAGATACACAGGAAGTATCTCATACGACAGAATCAGGTGTCTGTGATTTGAGTGCAGAAAACATGGAAGAAAGTGAATTGAAACCTGAAGATTTCACCACTGAGGAGAAAAATGATGAAAAGCTGAGAGAGGAAAATGAGGTCAGCAATGGCCATGGAGATCAGAGAGTTAGTGAGGAGAGAGAGGGAGTTCCACTGGGTGAGGATGAGAGATTGAATGAGGAGAGAGAGGTCCAATTGCATGAAAGAGATGAGAGTAAAAGAGAGGAGTTGAATGACACTTTTGAAAGTGAAATTAAACCTCAAGAGGATGAATCTGTTAAGGAGAGTGGTATGAGTGAAAGTGATGTGAAGGAGCAAGACATTCAAAAAGATGAAAAGGAGGATCAATATGCTTATGAGGAAGAAGAGAGCTTTGAGGCTGAGAGAGAAGTTAGTGAAGAAAGAGACATTCAAAATGTAATTCCCCCACCTAGTGCTGATAAGCCACATGATGTTGTTAAAGACACTTTTTATGATAAGGAAGAAACCAAAACTGCTGAAAGACTTTCAGAATTTGAGGAAGATGAGAATGAAAAATACATTGAAAATGGTGAAATAGCACAAGAGGAAGTGAATGAGGAAGTGGATGTGGATGACATTACAGTGGAAGATAAATCTCCAGAACTGGAAGAAAGCAAAAGTCAGGTTCCAGATGTGATTCTAACCACTATGCAGGAACCTCATAGAGAAATCCCTGTTGAAAATCCAAAATTGTTTGATATGGGTGAGAGTGAGGAGGGTGAGATAGAAATTCAAAGTAATGTGAGTGAGTTTGGGTCTCAGTATGCAGAGATGGGGGATGATAGGATGGATGAGGAAGAAAGCAATTTCAGTAATGGAGACAATGGGGAACCCAAAGATGAGTATTATCCCGATGAAAGAGAGCAAGAAATGGAGAGAGAGGAATTTGATCAACAAGATGTTGAGGACTTTGTAGAACAACAGGAGAGCAATATTAGTGAGTGTGTGCCAGAGGATGCAGTTGTACACAAGGATAATATGGAAAGCATAGGTTTTGATACAAATGAGAGACAAATGGAAATACCACAAGAAAGTGATCAAATTGACATTTCTGAACAAGAAATTGCATCTAGAATAGAGGGTACTATAATTGTGGATAAACCACCTGACTTTGAAGAACTTGATCATGAGCCACCTGAGGAACACCCACATAAAGCTGATACTTTCATTGAGAGTGAGGGATCAGACATGGAAGAAAGGTCCATTACCCCTGATCCCGACCAGATGATTAAAATGGCTTCACCAAGGAGTGAAGTGCCCCAAGAAGTATGTGACCCATTGTTCCATAACAAAGAACCCATAGTTGAGACAGAAGATGAACAGTTGGAGCTTAAAGTGGATGAACCAGAAATTTCCGCACCACCACCTGATGCAATGACAGGATCAATTGTCCTGGATGAGGGGCAAACAGTTGAAGAACATGTTCCTACAGAATCAAGTAAGGCTATGATGGAGGGTTCTCTAATATTAGATGAAGGGAAAACAATTGAAGACGCACAACCTGTAGAAGAAGCAACGTTTGAGGAGAGTCCTGAAGAAGAAATTGCACCTAAAATGAGTGGAACTGCAATGGAAGGTTCCCTTATATTAGATGAAGGGCAAACAATTGAAGATGCCAAGCCTGTTGAAGAGGCTAAGTTTGAAGAGAGTCCCGAAGAAGAAATTGCACCTAAAATGAGTGGAACTGCAATGGAAGGTTCCCTTATATTAGATGAAGGGCAAACAATTGAAGATGCCAAGCCTGTTGAAGAGGCTAAGTTTGAGGAGAGTCCTGAAGATGAAATTGCACCCCCTATGAGGGAAAGTGCAATGGAAGGTTCTCTGATAATGGATGAAGGACAGACAATTGATGATCTTCCAGCTGAACACACTTCAGTCATGGAAGGATCTTTCGTAATGGATAAAAGCCAAACTATTGAGGATCTTCCTACAGAACAGACAGGGTCTGTAATGGAAGGTTCTTTGATAATGGATGAAGGTCAGACTATTGATGATTTGCCACAGCAGCAGGATGTCATGTCAAGGTCTCTGATGGAAGATTCTATTGTTATGGGTGAAGGAGAAACTTTCGAAAACCAAGAAATCCAAGCTGAACACTCCGGATCAACAATGGAAGATACAAATACATCAGAAGACAGTCAAGCCTCACAAAAAATGAATGTCATGACTGGATCCATGATGGAGGGATCCATAGTTCTTGATGAGGAGGAAAAATTAGAGGACAGGTTTCCTGAAGATGCCATGTCAAAATCAATGCTGGAAGAGCATGAGGCTAAATTCAGGGAGGAAGAACCTGAAACACGTGAGGAAGAGCAAACCTCTGAAATTTCACCAGCAAATGTTGCTGAGGAGTCCCTTTATGAAAGTTATACTGAATCTCAAAAGGAGGAGTCATTAAGAAGCACAAGTATAGGGTACATGGATGATGAAACAAGGCTACAGAGACAGACTGCACAAAACATGGTGGAAAATGTTTTAAATGATGCCATTGATACAGTTGAAAGCATGCAGAAAACAGATGATATTTCAGTTGAAGAATCTTATACAGAGAAAACGGAAAGTGGTTTCGAAGAAAGTGTTCCAGAAAAATCAGAGCAGCTCTTAGAGAGTACAGAAGATGCATCAAGTGTAGAACCTTCCATGGAAAAAACAGAAAGTGCAGTAGAAGAGTGTATTCCAGACAAAGGGGACATTTCTACTGAAGAGCCATCCACAGAGAGAACAGAGGAAAGTGCTGCTGAGGAACCTTCAGTTGAAAAATCTGAAGAAAGTCCTGTTGCTGAGCCTCCACCAGAAAAGGCCGAAGTGGCTGAGGAAAAGCCAAAGGAGGTGGCTGTAGAGAAAGAAACAGCCCCTGAGAAAGAGGGAAAAACAGAACTGATCGTCAAAACAGACGAGGTTAAAAAGAAAGAAAAGGTTTTAAAGGAGCCTAAACAAGTGACCAAAACTGAAAAAGATAAAAAGAATGTCTCTGTCTTAAGTAAAGAACATAAAAAGGAAGTAAAAGAGAAAAAAGAAAAGCCAAAACCCAAAGCAAAAGCCCCTGCAAAAGTTGAAAGTAAACCAACAAGTGCTAAAACAGAGACTGAAAAAGCACCTGTTAAGGACAATAAATATAGTCATATCACAAGTCGTCTAACCCAGGATACAAGTGCTAGTCTAGCTCGTAAAACTGTGAAAAGAACTGAGCTACTTAAACAAACTGACTCCAAACTTCCGTCTCCCGAGAAGGGAGATGTCACAAGGCGGAGTCAGTCTGCAACTCGACAGGCTAGGGTGCCACGGAAACCCAAGGATGTGTCCACACCAGATGTTAAGGAATCATCAATTTCTCGTTCCAAGTCCACTCCTAGGCCTGGGGCTCAGAGGAAGCTTAGCCCTAGTCCAATGAGAGGCCAAGCAACCACCACAAGGAATGCCAGACCCACCAGACTTCTCCAGCCCAGAAAAGGTTTATATTTTGTAAGCTTGTGGTCTGGCTAGCACAAAAAAATCACCCTTACTGCTTATATTCATCCACATAAAAAAAAGACTGGACTGTGCATTATGGCCCATGTTTTATAGGACAGTTGAATGGATCTTCCCTATTTGAACTGTCTTGTAAAATGTAATGCTTTATTTTCTTTTTTGTTTTAGATATTTTTTCTTTTATTTTGCCTGCATATTTTATGTGATAAGTTTGACAATTAATTGACAATGGTGCCTTTGATAGAGTATGTGGTATGTTGAATAAAAAAAGGTCGCAATATCTAACATCATTAATTATGTAAGTTATTTGTAATTAATTAATGCTGTCAGATCAGAGCATGTAGAAATTAGAAGACTTAGTAGAATACTCTTTTCTTAGCTCTCATTTTGTTGGATTTCTTTGTCCAGCTGCTTTGGCTTTTTGTTCTGCATGATATTGAGTTCATTCTAAGGGAGGTAACTCCCATTGACTTCAGATGAGAGATATTGCAATCTTAGTGTCTGTGATTTTATAGTGCAGTATTTCTTTGTGAATGCTTTTGATATTTTAAAAATTCTTTTCTTTCAGTTTACAAGTCATTTATTCATAATTTTATGGTATGTTTGGTTTGATAGAGGAAAAAAACTTACTAGTGTTTAGAGTTCATATATTATTGGAATTCTGCTAATTCATTTACTCATTTAAACCAGTTTTCTTGCTGTTTCAGTTTTTCCTAAAACTCCTAATTCAAAACCCTATAATCAACTTGCTTTTAAAACTTCATTTCACCTTCCACAGTTTTGAACAAATTTATCTTGTAGAAGTGTTTTGTTTAATTTTTATATAAAATACACTTTTTTTTGTTTGTATTAGATTTCACAAAATTAACACTTTCTAATATTAATTCAAATCGTTGCACAAAGATTGAATTTATAAACTTTATATTTCATTTCTGTCTGTTAAACATTTCAAGCAATTCTTACATGATATATGTTAGATACATGCATACTTGGTTTTTCCATTTAGTTAAATCTGTCCATGGACAAACACATTTGTAGTTTATCATTGATTTGCATGTAGATATAGTATTGAGATGTTTTATCTTTTATTGAGAAATAAGCAAGCAGAAATAAGCATGGACACCTTTATTTTCCAGTTTCATTTTTGCATTTTAGATTTTGTTCCTTGCATCCTCTTTTGATCCTTCTCGGAATTAGATTTCAGTTTAGTTTAGTAATGATGCATGGCATGGCCAGAGTTGTTTTGAATTCGCTTCTTCAGCCATTTATTCAATTTCATATAAAACATTGCTGAAAAGTTTTATTGTTTTGATAAAGTAATAATTTTTGTGAGATATAGATAAGGAAATTAGTAGATAATTAATAAAAAAATATATATATCTACAATGGACTAAGTTCTGTATTTAGTAAATGAAATTGATGAATGGAATGTTTAGATATTGTTCCATACTGTAAAAATTGAGATTGAATTCTTGTATCATTGATGTTGTAGATGCCCCAGCTGCTAATGGTGTAACTTCACCGGCAAGTGGTACAGATGAGGAAAAGGCAGGGAAAAGGGTAGGTTATTTAATCATATGCCCTGTTACTAATACCCTTTCTCTCCTTCCCCCAACTGTACACACAATACCCTCCCTCTCTTTCCCCCCAATTTTACACAAAACCCTCATTCCTTCCACCCAATTGTACACACCCTTCCTTTCCCCCAAATTGTACACACACAGTATCCTCCCTTTCTTCCCCCTCCCAATTGTACACACACAATACCCTCCCTTCTTCTTCCCCCTAATTGTACATGCACATATGACCCAATGATGACATCCTGATCCATCTACAAGTTGTCAGTCATGAATAGTACATGCCATTAGATATGTCACAAATAGCATTCTAAGGTGTTATGTTTTAAATATCATTTCAATTATTGACATTTATTTCACAAGAATTTTACTAATTTTTCTTATATTTGTCAAAAATGACATTTCCATGCAAAACTTATCACCCTGTCTAAAAGATTGAAATTTTATACATGTACTGTACTGCTGAGCAAAAACTAAGGAAAAAGTGTATGGTTTATGTTAAAGAGGCTGAGGGGTTGTGGCCATTTTTAGACTATATTGATCTCCTTTAGAAGAAGAGCTCCATATGAAGATATAGAAAATGATCAAATTTTAAAACTAAAATTTCTGAAATTTTTCTTTGCCAAATGATACTTGACAGCGTAAGATATCATATCTAAAAAATTAAGTTAAATCTGGTGGTTAATTTGTGGTTAATTTGTTGACCCCCAGCCTCCTTAAAATTGCAAAACTTTATGAGAATTTTTAAGTTTTTTTTTTTTTTTTTTTTTTAATGAAATATTGATTCCATTCATTTTGAAAGGAACAAAAAACCTTTTAGTTACAGACATGAATATTTCATGAGTAACTTAATATCAAATCATTTCTATGGGTCTAGGTTAATATCCTGTTTCTGGCTGGTAGTGGAGATTGTAAATAAGTGAAGTAGATTGTGTGTAAATTGTCTATTTAACTTTCATCTATAGTGTCATGTAGTTACCTTGTCAACTGTCACTTCTGTACTATAGCCATCTGGGAAACTGTTTAAAAATACCATATATACCCTTGTAAAAATATTTTAAGCATTTTGTTTGACAATTTCCTTCACACACTTAAATTGATATTTTTTATTAAATTTCTGGCAGTTTTTGTGTGACCAAAAATTAAATGCATTATGATTTTTTAATGCTTAAGCAATATGAAAAAGAGCAATCTTTATTTAATTTATAAATATAAATCATTCAGCAGACTGAGTTGAGTGTATTTGATACTGGCAGTATATTTTGAACCCCCCCCCCCAGCAGGAAGGGGGAGCACACTTTCCTCTCACCAGTGTAATGTGTTCAATCCAGGTTAGGGTTAGATATGGGAGGGTATAATGGTCATTTGCCCAGACATATGGGTTTAGCTTCCTCCCCCTTATACCTTCATTTGCACTCTAGGTGTTAATGTAGTATTTTGAACTTGTGTATCAAGCATTGTAAATTAGGTTAAAACTTATTTTTCTCTCTGTGCAAGTGTGGACACTCAGTCCTTAAATTGGTCTGTCAGTTACAGTTAATGACCTGCATGTCATAATTCTCCAAGCTAGTCTGAATGTGGAGTTCATCATAACAGAAAAACTACCTGCATCAATTGTGAATTATTGACAACAAATGATCAATAGACAGTTACAGAAATAAACTAATGCTGTAAGAAATAGTTTGTGTAAATAGCGAAATTGTTTGCACAAAGGCAAATAGGATTCACAGAATGTGCATGATGAAAGAGTTTACAATTACAGAATTGTTTAGTTATTATGAAAGCCCCACTAATCAAAGACTGGAATGCAGTTACATCAAATTTAGACTGTAATTTAGTATTGACTGACTGATACTAGAGGGAAAATCTGAATCTGTATAGTAAACAGCTGATCAAAAATTATACCCTCCAAAAGAGAGAGAGAGAGAGAAGGAAAAAAGGAAATCAATGAGAAACAGAGTAATACGCTCTGACATTCATAACGAAAACATGTAGATACTGGCACATTTCTGTAGCCAGCAATTAACAGGTATTTTTGCCAGTGGTTTTTGTTTTGGGTATAGAGCCAGAGGAAATGACCTTCAAAGAGATGCACTGACCAAGTGGTTTTTGCTGAAGTAGCTTTGCACTGTGTAATTTGTAATTTTTGTAATCTGGAATTTCAAAATAATCTAATTTGTAGGAGATTGGCATACTTCCTATTGGTATTACTATGTCTGAATCCGTAGGAGTATTCTAAAATTTTCTTATTTCTGGGAAAGTTCAAGAATTGAGTCTCGTAAAATTTTCATGTACAATGTTTTATGGAAGTAAATTTTTTTTATTAGGGAATGTATGGTAATTTTCAGAAGGTTTCATCATGAAGCCGGCATTGTTTACCTGTAGGAATTGTTGACAGTTTGTTATGAGGATTTTCTCAAGTGTCCTGCCGTACACAATATCTGTATTTGCTTTTCATCAGTTACAAAGTAGTGTATATCAAAGCTATGTGACTTTTAAGTGAAGTGACCAACACCTAATTGATTTTGTGCTGGATATTGGGAATATGAGCCACCAGGTAAAAAGCGACATCAAAATTTTCTCTCTTTTTTTTCATATTTAATTTTTGAAATTTATGTATTTACATTTTTTGGGCTAAGACTTCTAAACACCTTGGATATTTTGCAGTGAATTCCCTAAATGATAATATTATTGAAGTGATTTTTTTTAGATCACAAGTCTTCCAGCAACAATGTTGATATTGTAATGTTTGGATGGTCATTTTGGGGTTGGGTTGGGGAGGGGGAGAGTAATCAAGTTCCTAATTGACAATTAAAAGTTATTACTGGTCCTATTTAAAAGATTTCTAAACATTTTGTTGTATCATTTTGTGAAAATTAAAGTATATTGATCAATGTGTTGAAGATTTTATAATGCTTTAAAATCGGTAGCTAATACAGTTTTCTTATAGATGATGCATCTCGATACCTATTAAATTTTTTGAATTACTGAGTATGTACATTTACTTACATGTATGTTTCAATGCGTTACATATAAAACATTGCTGTACCATCTGTACATTATCATTCTGTAATTTTCTATGACAGTTAAGTGAATTAGCATTTCATGTCAATTCAATATATAGATACTAGTTAATTTAGTTTTTGTGTTACGGAAAAGTATGCACTCACGCAAAAGATTAAAAAAGCTTTCTGTTAAAGTTATTGTGAATGGCTTTTGATATCAATCCATTAGGAAGCATTTGACATTTTATGATATCAAAGACGCAGTTTTTATGACCTTTTTGATGGCCGTAAATATCAATCGGTATCTTTACCTACCTGTTTCACACAAACACTGACAACTTGAGGCTTTTCTTTGAGGGAATATAAAATAAGTTCATGATTGAGTGCAAATCACTAGTTGCAGGATAAGAAAGTTTTATGATAATTTTTTCAATGAAGTGAAATAAACTGAGGATCTTACCCTCTGCAGGCTATGTTTAAGGGTGTACTTGTATAGCAATTACCATGTTTGTTGGTCAATACTTCTATGGCTATTAATCTTTCTTTGTGTTTGGGCCATAAATTTTAAAATTTGAAAGCTTATTTTTTAGCAAAAAGAAGGCGTATGAACAGAGGGTGTGTTGTGACCTGAACTGAACAAAGTCAAGGTCACAGGTTCAGCAAATTTTTTGACTGGGTCATAACTTTGTATATAATGTTTAAATATTTTAGTATATCTTACTTGGCAAAAAAAGGTTGCTTTTGGCCAGATGGTATGACTCTGAGTCAAAATCATTTTGGAAAGGACATATGATTCAGAAAAGTGAATATCTGTCTGATGTTTAGCAATACACATGTACTGCGCAGAGAGTGCAGAAGCTTGACTCAAAGATTGCTAATGATCAAGAGGAAATGTCATGAATAGAAAGTATTGAATATATAGATTTGAGAAATTCAAGGTTGCATTAAAAATGCATTCCCAGTGTTCTTCCCAATAACTGACTTTGTATAACATACAAATGTAGGTACAGATTCAATCTGTGCTGTGTTTTGAAAATGGTCACATTATTTAAATATATGATCAATATGGCTCTGCCTAGGATACAGTTTTAATCTTATTTGACCATCAGCAAGTTATCGAAAATAAATCACCATATTTCCCAGAAATACAAGAATTTATTTAGGTCAGAATTGTACATGCAAATGAAGAGGTGCCCTATGAATATGGTATTTATTTTTTTAAATAATATTTTAAAACTTTTAGATACACTCTTTGTTTCAGACTCCATCAGCCTCCTCCAAGAAGAAGTATGGCATAGACTCCAAGAATATGTCCTACAAACCTGGGGGTGGTCAAGTCAAGATTTTCGACCAGAAGGTACAAGTCAAGGCCTCGCCTAAGGTCAATGCTGGTGCCAAAACTCCACCTGGATCAAGTACTTCACCTAGAAAAGAATCTCGTAAGAGTTCATATCAAATGCAATGTAGAAAATTCTTTACAACGATTACATTTACTTATTTCATTTTTAAGTATGGTGTAAAATAGACAAGTCTTTAAATGCAGTGAATTCTGTTTCTTTCTTCATCTAACTGTATGCATGTTTGAACAGATTAAATCATTTGAATCTGAAAATAAAGGGAAAGTAATTCCATAACACCAAACCAAACCAAAAAACATTTCAAACCCCATCAGCCGTTTATTTTGAAATGTGGCTACCAACTTTAAATCAAATTTGGTTTTTCAGCACGACCTAAACCTACCACTCCTAAAGGACCAGCCCCTAACGTGAAGAATGTCACATCAAAGATTGGTTCTCTTAAGAATGCCAATTATACTCCAGGAGGAGGGCAGGTGAGTAGTGCTGCTTCTTGGATAAAAAAAAAATGAGAAAAGATGGTTAGAAGGGGGGGGGGGGTGTAATAGATATGACCAATATTGATGCATCTTTTAAGCTTCTTGATTTTTTTGAATTACTTGTTTTACTCAGTAGAAAATTTGAATTAACTTGAAAGTGTCATCAACAATATAGGAATGTTAATATTTATTATGATCCATTTAAGGAAGAAAGAGATAGTGCTTCACCCTGATTTTTTTTCTTCGTAGAATGAAGTTTGTTCAAATCATGGCCGCTGGTGTGTGGCACAAAGCAGGACCATTATCAGTGAAATAGTTATGCATCCCTGTAGCATAGATTCATACATGTAAATGTTCACATTGTGGTCCCTTCGCTTAGTGGAGTGTCAAAGTTTTACTTGGGAAATGTAGAATTTTTTTTTTTTTAAATCTTCTGATGAAAGAAGCAGGGCTACATTATAGTCAATAATGTGCAAACATCCTCATGTATTGAAGATTCAAGTCTTTTAAAGTTTTGGCATCAGTGAGTTGTAGTATCAGTAGGTTGGGGCAACAATTGGGAGAGACCAGAAGGCCACAATTTGTAAAAGTTGACATTAAGCCTCAATATATACTCGAAATAAAATTGTTGAGATCATAGACTTAAATTTGGTGACCAGATAAAGGGTTTAATTTATCATCCAGGTACATATTCATTTGTCGGGAAGAGAATGGTGATTCGGGTGAACATTGTGGCCCATGGGCATCTTGTTTCTGTTTGCAGAAGCACTGAAATGAATTATATTTGAATCTGAATGTGTCCTGTTTTCTGTTATTGGTCAAATAAATCAAATATGTGGATCCCTCATGCAATCCATTGATTTTATTTATAGGTAAAGATTGCCAGTAAAAAGAAAGATTATTCCACTGTGACAAGTAAAGTAGGGTCCACAGCAAATATGGACCACAAGCCAGGTGGAGGGGAGAAAAAGGTAACTCACTCACCCAGTTACTAATGCTTAATGCACATTCATTTCATAAAAATGTCAGAGTCAAATGTTCAAGTTTGCTTGTGCTGGGATATGGATTTTCACCAGGAATTGTCAAGCCTAAACTGTATTTTTTGCATCAATGCTGTAATTTTAATCTAATGGATGGATGGGAAAATTCCATATTCCCATGCAAATTGATTATATTAAATTATTTGATTATATGATTAGATGTGAAGTGGGGAAAAACTTTTTTAAAGTGGATCTTGTCTTTTTTGGTATGAAATGTGCAGAGCATGAAGCACTTGGCTTGTAAACTGAAAAAAAACTGCAAATATCTATTCTATTTTAAAATTTTTATTAAATGAATTTTCAGACTGGTGGTAAAAAGGTAGAGTATTTCTGTTTCAGAAAAGAGCATGATGCCAGGTGCCTTTTGTTTGGCTTCATTAATTTGCACACAGCTTGCTTTTGTTTCTTTTTCTTTAGATATTATCGCAGAAATTGGATTGGAAGACGAATTCCAAAATAGGCTCCTTGGATAATGCCAAGCACTCGCCAGGCGGCGGTAATGTTAAAGTATGCTATCGCTTTCCAATTTAATGTATGGCACAAACCAAATTTATTGTAAAATGCTTCTCTTGGGTTGACCAATTTATCTATCAAAGGAATTCTTTATCTTAAATTTATTCCTTAATTAAGGCATAAATTAAGTTTTATCTGGCAGTGGATCTTTTTTTCCATGGAAAAATTGGACAGACTATTAGTGTCGTAAAACGTCCATAAAAGTTGAATCTCTTAGACATAACTGCAGCATTAGTAAGTTAATATCTTTACCATATATAGCTCACTGCTGTGACCATAGATTAGAGCCACTCCTTGATGCAAATTGTTCCCCAAATGTTTCTTATAAAGTGCACTTTTGTTCAGATAAATACATTAAAAGTTTGAAAGAAGGGGAAGAAGCAGACATCTACTTCCTTGAATTTTCATTGGTTAATAAGAAAAAGAGTAAAGCTTTATCTGTTAAGTGGCTACCTTAGCTGGATAAATGTCATTGTGATAAATGTCTTAATAACACATGCTGCTTTCTGCCTGCATGTTTACTAAATCATGACAGAGGAAATTCTACCAGAAGATTTCCTTCTCATTTGCTCTCAGAGAAAATTACTGAAACAGTAGAATTTTGAAGACTTTTCATTTGTTTTCTTCAAATGGGTCATTCATTATTTTTCTGCTTCATTTTTTTCCAATTTAGATTAAAGATGAGAAAGTTGAATGGAAAACTACCTCAAAAATTGGATCCCTTGACAATGCTAGTCATATTCCAGGGGGCGGTAATGTGAAAGTATGGCATTCCGTCATTTTTGTTCACTCATATTTTGTTTTTACTTATAAACATAAATAAACTGCGTAGTCAGTTTATTTTACTCAGAATTTATAAGGATTTTTTTGTACTGTGTCATTAACGGATGATTCTAAAAATGTAGTCATGCAAGGAAGTTTTTAAGCATCTGTCTATTTGTAATAGTTAAAAACATCATGACACTAATTTTCAGACACAAAATTTTAATTAACCTGAAGTTATTTGGCATTTATTATTTGGCAATCACATTTCATCAGTCAAATAATTAGTTTAGAAACAAAATATAGTTAAGAAATATATACAGATTCAAATACTGTAAACCAACTATTATTCGCAACATCTTTTGTTCGCGATACTTCAGTTTGGAATCCATCCGGAACTACTAATGTTCGCGACTGAGGCAACTTTCTACATAAATATATGGGTGAATATTTGGTTGGCAACAAGAAATATTCGCGAATAAAGAAGGTTGTGAAACTTGCGGTTTTTTCTCGCACGCGTATAATAGTTGGTATACAGTATTTATTATAAATACTTGATATGCATATATGTATCAGGTGTCAAACAGGAATTTTAAAATTTATAATTTTGAGGGCATGCTTTATGGTGTTAATTAAGTCATTTGAATGTTTATCATTTACTAACAAGGCTAACAAAATTTTCATTTGATTTTGACTCTATAAGAGCATGTTCAGTGATTCTAATACTTCATTTCATTCTACTAAAGCATGAAAAAGTGCCTGGAAAATGTCAAAGCTTTGCAATTGCAGTTATATTTTAATTTTGCAGCTTTTTTGTTACTTGATTTGTTTTTTTCTCTCTCTCTCATTTGTCTGCCTACTCAGATAGTGAATGATTCCATTGCATGGAATGCTCAGTCCAAAGTTGGATCTCTAGCTAATGTGGACCATATACCTGGGGGTGGTAACGTTCATGTACGAAGTGTGTGTCTGTCTATTCCAGGCATATCTATCTGTCTGTCTGTTTTACTGTCCAAAACTCTCATTTTCTCATCACCCAGTGTTGATTTTGTATAGTAGATGTGGGTCTGTCAAAGGTATTGTGTGCACCCTATCAATGATAAAGCTCTTAATCAAAGATCATTTATTGTGGTATAAGTGAAATGAAATGGTTTTGTCAAAGACAAGTAGATGTCAAAGTCACAGATAACATTAACAGAAGCTCTCTCAAATAATTTTTAATTTTTCACTTGTTAATTGGGCCATCAAAATTCGATGTTAATGGTCTAGTATCCTTGTTTTAATGTACAGTAAAAAATGTCTAATCCGGACACCACTGGTTCCAAAGAAATTGATTGGATTAGACAACATTCTGGATTAGACACCATATTAGGCAAGATTTGGGAATACACAACATCTGGATTAGACAAGTTTCACTGTAATATTTGGCAAGTGATGATTAACTTTTCACTAGAACACAAACTGTTTTCATCAGGTTGTAGTGTTACAAAGCACTGGTCATACCTCAAAATTACTGGGCCTGGAGTCCAGCAAGCTATATACAATTTTGTCCTTATCCTGCAGAAATAAACAGAGAAATTTTCCTTGAATTAAAATTCAAATTCAATCTAAAGATAGCCTTTAATGTTGCAAGAAATTTGGAAAAGAAAGGGCTGTGCAATCTGTGGAAAGCTTAATTAATTCAAAAGTCATTTTTTATGCACAAATTGTTGTGATGGGGTGTACTATACGTGTATATTTATATGTGTGCTGTATGTTGTTACTGAATTGTTGGTTTATGTATGCTAGGTGTATTTTTAAGTGTAAAGAATGTGTTGGTGCTAATATTTTGTAGCTTTGGGTGACTGTGATGTTTTTGTGTATCTTCTGACACTACATGTTCCTAATTTTATTGGAATTTTTCTTAGTACATTATATTTTTCAGTTTTTCTCTATGTAATGTGCATTTTGGTAATTTAAAGACTGATCAAAAAAAAAAAATCAAGGAAAGCCAATAAACCTCAGTTTCAATTGTCATTGAAAACCTTACAAAAAGAACAATATTGTAAGAAAGAAAACTGTGCAAAATTTTATGCAGTTACCATGCAGAAATGTTTAATTTGTATGGAGGTTAAATACACTATTAATGAGACAATTTGAGAATTTCAGATGACCAAGGCACAGATTATAAAAAGCACACACAGATAAACATTCTGAAGTAGTCATTGATAATAATTTTGAATACGTTTAAGTTATATTGCTTGCATTAACATTTTACAGATTGAGAGTCACAAAGTTGAAATCAAGGCCCACTCCAAGGTTGGTTCTACTGATTACATGTCCCATAAACCTGGGGGAGGCCAGAAAAAGGTATTACACAGTCATCATATTTAGATATATGCAATATACATTGTATTTCTGATGGAGTGATATTTTTTCTTTCTGAATTTTTGTGGTTTCATATCTTTGAAGTGTAGCAGAAAAAAGCAATTACTGATGAGAATTTTAATTAAAAAAAAAAAAAGCAAATCTGAATAATAAAATTTGAATGCAAATTCTGAAAAGTATGTTGAAAAATTAATGTATAACTAAGATGTAAAAGTTTACATAGAATCACCAATGATTTGATACATTGTACCAATGATGTTTGGTCTATAGCATTGATTTGAGAGTTTTAAGCTAGATCCCCCCCCCCCCACACACACACACACCACACCTCCCAGATAAATATAGTCAATAGCAGTAGGTGGTTAAATTTATTTCACAGTCCTTAAAATTATTTTCTTTCCCAATACATAGTGCTTGACTATGAAGTGGTAATTTTTTTTTCCTGTCTTCACAGATTGAGACACAAAAATTAGACTTTAAAGAAAAAGCTAAACCTAAAGTGGAATCCAAGACGAACCACAAGCCAGGAGGTGGTGACAAAAAGGTAGGTCATGTTCAGGTCAAGGTCAAATATAGAGTTAAGGTAAGTGTGGTGTATTATACTTCCTCAGTCAACAAAATAAATACAGATTTGCACCTTCAAGAATAGTCTTTTTTTGTAATTTAGTACAGCTCTGTAGATGTATCCTAACTTCCCATGCAACCTTAAAGTGGATCAAGATGCAGTCAAACTCTGATTATTTTTCAGACTTTCCATAAAGCTTTGCTAAAACAATGTTATTATTTTATTTACAAAACTAAAAGTGTGTGAAAATGTATTGAACCCACTTGTGAGAACCTTTTATTTGAATTTTATGATGAATATTGCAAATTTTGAATCTGAATTTCATATAAGAGTTGTCTCTCTTTGGCTAAAATTGATAGTCTAGACTTGAAGTACAGGAGAAATTCTTTACACACAAAGTCATTGACCTAGACACTTGTCGTCAGTAATCCATTTCCAGATACAAAGGAAAAACAGAAATTCAATATTGTATTGATTTTTTTTTTCATTGATAATTAGGTTATTTTTTAAAATTGTTTGAGTTTAGCATATTGTATTATTTTAAATATATAAGGCTGTCTGAAATTTGACCCTTAAATTTAAAGAAAAAAAACTACTGGTCAAAAACCAGGAGATCTTATGCATTGGTAATATGTCCATGATTTATCTATCAGTTTGTCTCTAAATAAGCAATTATTCACAATAAAGTTTAAAGCTACTTTCAGTGGAGATTATACATAAAGGTATACAATAATCCTGAGTATCATTTTTTCCTTTTGACAAATGTGGCTGAGATTACAAAAATTGGATTACTTACTTAAAAACATTACTTCAATCTGCTTCTCCTCATACGTTATCAATCCAGTTTCGATACAATATACTGGGTAATTATTAAAAATAGAATCATATTGAAATTAATTAAGAAAATTAGTGCTAATTGTAAGGGAGACAGCTACATTGTTCCCCTGTCTATTCTTCTACACTCCAATGGTACATAATTCACTATATCCTCATTTATATAAGGCATTATTTTTTACGACATTTTTAAGACATTTACAAACACTTCACATTTCAAACCATTTCTTTGAAAGAAAAAATGTGGAATTCATCATAATTTTAAGCCATATACTCCCATGAAAAAATTCAAGTTTTCTTTTTAGGACAGTAAATCTCAACATATATTTTTTAATGTTGCTGAAGATATTGCCTTGGTAATCAAATTAAAAATTAAATATGGAAATATGAGAAGTAATTGTCATTTATTCAGCATATTTTATGATCTTCAAAAAGAAAGAAACTGTCAGATGGATTTGAACAATTATATTCTGGAAAAGGGAGAGTTCATATAGTTATCAGTAGTCTTCTCTTGATCTTTCTGAAATTTTTCCAAGTTTAAAAACAGCAGGAGCAGTTTAATCAATGATTAAACAAGGGTCAGAGACCAAAGCAAACAGGGGTGGCTCTGCACACTCTATAATGTGTATTTAAAAGACAGTGGTCTTGTCTAATTCAAAGACATAGATAAACACACATTGCCAAGGGTATTCTCTTGTGAAAGAGTCTTTGGTTCTTTTTTTTTTAATTTAGTCAGAATATTGATGATATGTCAGCAGTGGCTTATACCAAGACCTCCTCGGGATTTCTGAGGGATTTGGGGATTATCAGAAAACTACATGGGTGATCTTTTGCTTGTACTTAGAAGGGAGAAATATTTTCTGTTGATGATTTTAAATTTATTTTTCTGTATTGTGATAAAAATGAAAGTTTTTGAATAAAATGGGTCTTATTTCTAGGTTTATCCTGTTTTTGAAAAAATGGCACGTATAGGCAGTCGATAAAGAAAATTGCTGCATGTCATATGTCTTTGAACAAAATAGAACATTTAAATAATTCTTTTAGTGAAATTCAACATGATTGTGTTCCAAGTCATTGATTAGTTCAATACACAATTAATCAGTGACATAAGGTTAACAATGAAAAATATGCGGTCCTTTTCATCTCGTAAAAGAATTGAATTTACATATATAATGTTAAATTTGGAAGCATTATCTAAACACTGATAAAAATGGCTTTTAAACACTAGCTATTGTTTTCACTTTTTCGGTGACTTTGATTACATTGTTAACTTTATTTATGTACGATCTGGGGTGGTGGTCATTGTATGCGCATTATCCATTCATTACCGACTGAAAAGAAATACAAATATTGATACCTGATAGTGGAAATGGCTCTGCAGAAATGATAAGTTCTATGATTTCCACTTTTCCTTTGACTGATAAATAGGGAGAAAATATTGAAATGAGATTGGGTTTCACGTATATGGAGTTAAACATTAACTGATAAATCCATCGCCTGTGAATTGGATTAAATTGCCTTGTAAAATTTTACTTATTAAAATTCTGAAATCTGCGGCCATATAAGAGAAAAATGCCAAAGGAATCAGCAATTTTTCCTCAATGAAGCATGGTTTTCCAGAGATTAGATATTTTTTTGACTAACTGACATTTTCTGGAGGACTGATTGTGGAGATTTTTTTGCTGAGTAGTGATGACAGGTTGATGATAGAGTCCTGATTTTGGCCCTGAAAACACGACAGATCTATTGAAACAGTGGCTTTAAATGACATCAGATAAAGGACCCCCAGGAGACAAGGGCGTTTGATTTCAAGGCTCCGAAATCTATCTCTTCTTGGAGACAATCTCTGGATCTTGTGCAGACTGCCTGAAGTAAAGTGCTTTGTAATTTACGTGTGCATTGTCTCTCAAGAGTACCTTTTGTGTCATCTGCAACTAGACTCTTGATTCATTTGTTCAGGTCATGTCAAATGATCTTAATACCATAATCGCCTTTGATTGTACCTTATAGAATTATTTCACCTTTTATTTGGTGAAAGCACAACCAAAGTTTTAAGGCATTTGGATAGAAGAATTAAATAGGATTAGAACAGAATAAGATTTATTGTGTATTGGCCTATATATAAATAAAGTTCACCAAGCTAGATTGTGAATATTCCTTACTGAATTTGGTCAGTGGAACAAATATTAGGGTATTATTTAATTGTTTATGACTTTTCCTAAGTGTTGATGTTATTGAAACACCATAATTGAATTAGTGAATTTAATTTTTTTTGCTAATGGTACATGTATTGACACTGTGGAAAGTTGGACATGTTAAAGGCATTTTATGAATGGTAACTTTTTTATGGAATGCAATTTAAATTTGTTTATTTAATGCATTTTGTAGAAGTTCCTGAAGGTTAATGATTTCTGATGGTTTAAGTATTCAGAAAATAAGTGTTTTAATTGTTTGGTATCAAAGCATTACTTATATACATTTAGCAACCATTGGCAGGCATCAATATTGTCAGAACGTCTTGTGTACTGTAAGCAAAAAATCAATAGGTGAAATTTAAAATGTGTCTGATGCTGTGTATTTCTACCATATTGAACGTTTTATGGCTTTTTGATAAGGAAATAAGTCATTCATAAGTGAAGGCTTAGCACACCACCATCAAAGAAATAAAAGCTCAAGTGAAATTTTGATTTATTTTCAAGGAGTATGTCTGGATATTCATTGAAGAATGTAGGATGAACTAAATATGTTGGGAAATTTTTAGTTGGATTGATTTTTTATGCAATTTTAAGAGACCAAGACAGTAAAAACTTTCACTGTATGAATGAAACATGGCCACTACTCCTTCCCCTCGAACAGATCATAGAACCAAACATCCTTATCCGAGTCTGCCTAGTGCTCACAAACACCATGTGATAGGAGATGAAATTGAGGACGAGGATATGGAAGCGCCGATTAAAACGGTAGTATATGTGCCAAATCGTGCAAATGCCCGGGGACGATTTCCCGTGGTCTCTGTTCACAAGAAAAAAGATGGCCGCTACGTCGTGATGGAACAGCGACCAGTTCATACATTCTTCTCCGGTGAAAAATTCAATGACTTGAAAAGTCTAGAGGAGAAAGAAGACAAGATAAATCGAGAAACTAAATACAAATATGTTAAGCCACCTTGGAAATGGTCTTCAAAGGGAAAATCCATGGAGAGGTCATTTGATCGGAATTATTACTATCCACATCTTCCTCCCATTAACAATCATATGGAGACTGTTACTTCAAAGGTTGGATCCTTGGACAATGCACAACATACCCCTAGACCTTCAAATAAAAAAGTTCCCCATTTTCATGTTCATTGGGAGGCTGAAGCCAAAGTTGGATCATTAGAAAATGTAGACTACAAAAAGCAACGTTCACGTAGTCATCCTGCTTCAGAAGTAGGAAACAGATCAGATATCAGTGAATATGAGACTCACAGTCTACAGCTACCACCGATCAAAACTAAATATGGAGGGAGGGGGGATGTCGGTGCATTTGGGAATTCCCATTTTACTCCAGGTACATCCAAAACCTCACCAAGATCCATAAAGTCTACAGCCAGGTCAAAAATTGGCTCGCTAGACAACATCCACTATGTACCAGGAGGTGGAGATGTGGAGATTCCACATTTTCCACATGACTTCAAAGCAGAGTCTAGAATTGGATCTTTGGAGAAAGTCTTTCATAAACCTGGTGGTGGAGATGTGCAAATTGTTGACTTAAAGCCAAAATGGAAATCTAAACCTAAAGTGGGATCATTGGAAAATTTTGACCATACACCTCAAAAATCTAGCTTTAAAGTGCCACACTTTAGTGAAAACTTCCATCAGAAAGCGAAAGCCAAAATTGGCTCACTAAAAAATATTGAATACTCCCCACCATCAAAACATCCCCAAATATTCCACTCAAAGCCAAACTGGAAGAAGGAGTCTAAGATCAGTGCCATCTGGAAAACTAAACACAGATATGATGATCCGTATGACCTGGAGTATGATGAAGATGCTGAAATAGAGGCAAGGATTAGGGAATTGATGAAGCGATGATTAGAGGAACACATTGATTGTAGTACTGTGCTAGGCAATGATTTTTTTTTTCTTGAAAGGTTTGCTTATACTTTGCATAGAATTTCCAATTTTCCATGTTTCAGCTATGTATGAAGTTTTACATCTAATTCCATGTACATGTGATTTCAGAAATATTTGATATCTTTATTTTTTTTCTTTATGAAGTAAATTAGGTTCATCTGAAATGAATATAAATGTATGACTTTTCTCCAGTTTTATCATTCTGTTGTGTATAAGGATCAATAGTGCTATAGCAAACTAAAGTCCTATTAATTCATTCAAATTGATTTTTGAAACTCCATTATAAAGTTGTATTTGTTTTGCTATTTATCAAGTTGTTGTTCTAGTTGTGACAATTAGAATAGTTCATCACCCTGTGCCAACAGTATCTTTTGTTCGATATTTATGAAAGACATTTGTGATATTTGTGTGAATAAATATAAAATTGATTCATTGCTTTATCTTTTGAGCAAACTGTTCCTAGATTCTGTAGCGTTGTGCCTTGCACAGCTACATAAGCTTGTGTAATGGTCAATTTCTACAAGAAATTGACTTACCAGTACACAATGTCACAGAGCTTTTTAGCTCACCTGAGCTGAAAGCTCAAGTGAGCTTTTCTGATCACCCGTTGTCCATCGTCCGTCCGTCCGTCTGTAAACTTTTCACATTTTCAACTTCTTCTCAAGAACCACTGGGCCAATTTTAACCAAACTTGGTACAAAGCATCCTTGGGTGAAGGGGAGTTTAAATTGTTAAAATAAAGGGCCAAGCCCCCTTCCAAAGGGAGATAATCAAGAAAAGACAAAAATAGGGTGGGGTCATTAAAAAAAAATCTTCTTCTCAAGAACCACTGGGCCAGAAAAGCTGAAACTTATGTGGAAGCATCCTGGGGTAGTGTAGATTCTAAATTGTTCAAATCATGACCCCCGGGAGTAGGGTGGGGCCACAATAGGGAATCCAAGTTTTACATTGAAAAATGTAGAAAAAATCTTTAAAAATCTTCTTCTCAAGAACCACTGGGCCAGAAAAGCTGAAACTTATGTGGAAGCATCCTTGGGTAGTGTAGATTCTAAATTGTAAAAATCATGATCCCCGGGGGTAGGGCGGGGCCACAATAGGGAATCCAAGTTTTACATTGAAATATGTAGAAAATATCTTTAAAAATTTTCTTCTCAAGAACCACTGGGCCAGAAAAGCTGAAACTTATGTTGAAGCATCCTGAGGTAGTGTAGATTCTAAATTGTTCAAATCATGACCCCCGGGGGTAGGGCAGGGCCACAATAGGGAATCCAAGTTTTACATTGAAATATGTAGAAAAAATCTTTAAAAATCTTCTTCTCAAGAACCACTGGGCCAGAAAAGCTGAAACTTATGTTGAAGCATCCTGGGGTAGTGTAGATTCTAAATTGTTAAAATCATGACCCCCAGGGGTAGGGCGGGGCCACAATAGGGAATCCAAGTTTTACATTGAAATATGTAGAAAAAATCTTTAAAAATCTTCTTCTCAAGAACCACTGGGCCAGAAAAGCTGAAACTTATGTGAAAGCATCCTGGGGTAGTGTAGATTCTAAATTGTAAAAATCATGACTCCCAGGGGTAGGGCGGGGCCACAATAGGGAATCCAAGTTTTACATTGAAAAATGTAGAAAAAAATCTTTAAAAATCTTCTTCTCAAGAACCACTGGGCCAGAAAAGCTGAAACTTATGTGGAAGCATCCTGGGGTAGTGTAGATTCTAAATTGTTCAAATCATGACCCCCGGGGGTAGGGCGGGGCCACAACAGGGAATCCAAGTTTTACATTGAAATATGTAGAAAAAATCTTTAAAAATTTTCTTCTCAAGAACCACTGGGCCAGAAAAGCTAAAACTTATGTGGAAGCATCCTGGGGTAGTGTAGATTCTAAATTGTAAAAACCATGACCCCCAGGGGTAGGGTGGGGCCACAATAGGGAATCCAAGTTTTACATTGAAATATGTAGAAAATATCTTTAAAAATCTTCTTCTCAAGAACCACTGGGCCAGAAAAGCTGAAACTTATGTGGAAGCATCCTTGGGTAGTGTAGATTCTAAATTGTTCAAATCATGACCCCTGGGGTAGGGCGGGGCCACAATAGGGAATCCAAGTTTTACATTGAAATATGTAGAAAAAATCTTTAAATATCTTGTTCTCAAGAACCACTGGGCCAGAAAAGCTGAAACTTATGTGGAAGCATCCTGGGGTAGTGTAGATTCTAAATTGTAAAAACCATGACCCCCAGGGGTAGGGCGGGGCCACAATAGGGAATCCAAGTTTTACATTGAAATATGTAGAAAATATCTTGAAAAATCTTCTTCTCAAGAACCACTGGGCCAGAAAAGCTGAAACTTATGTGGAAGCATCCTGGGGTAGTGTAGTTTCTAAATTGTTCAAATCATGACCCCTGGGGTAGGGCGGGGCCACAATAGGTATTACAAGGGGGAAATCGGGTGAAAAACAGCAAGGCCAAAGTTACTCAGGTGAGCGTTGTGGCCCATGGGCCTCTTGTTTCTATTTCACAAAAAGTTTTTAAAAGTTCAAATATAAGAAAAAAAAAGAGGGGTAGAGGTGGATTTAAACTAATCGTAAATATGGCAGAGATTTCCATGGTAACCGTTTGCTTGTCCATCTATTAAAATTAATATAACAAAGCTCTAAAAAATGAGTCTTTAGGGAATATATTCTTTTGAGAATTTGCAACCAAAAAAAATTTAAAGGAAAGTAATAAAAATATTTTTTGTTTTACAAAAAGTACAAAATCAATGGATGTATCCAAATTGCAATATGCTGGATTTTACAAGTATGGAATTTTTAGGCATGAGTTGCTCTCCAAAGAAAGTTTTAAAAATATATATACCATTGTCTCGTTAAACGCAATATGATATATATTATTGACACATCTTAACTCTTTGCTTTGTAATTTTTTTAATCCTTTCCGTCAGGACTATTGTGTTCATTTAAAACTTTCTCTCGCCCTGACAGCGTTATCATTATAATCTCTTCGTTGGTATGTACTGGAAAGTTCCGTTATTATGGGTTCTTTGTGCCAAAAGCACTTTAAAGGCAAATTGATTTAACCTTATATAAGATCTTGTGTTCACTTCTCCATAAAATGAAATATTTTTCTTTCGGTAAAACTTTTTATGAGTCTTGATATTCAAAATTTTTTAAAATTGTTGTTTGCATTGCCATTAAGTCTTCGAGAGAAATGACAACAGTAATTAAATTCATGCCCTAAAACCAATATTGACAAGTAATATCATCTTTAATGAGAGTAAAACGTACAGATTTAGATGTGTTGGAAAGTAGACATGGAGGCAGTTTGCTATGGCAACGAACTCGACATTCATTTAGTGTATTTGAAATCAGTTAAAAAGGAAAAGCCCTTCAGAAATATAGAATGAATTCATATGTAACTATTAAGGCATATCATTCTGGCATCGGATAATCTTTGGTAATGGTTCAATTTAATACAGCTGTTTAATTAAGTGAACAATTGGTATGAAAAGTAGATCTGCATGTCAGTTAAACCACAATACACCTGGTGTACCCAGGGAATTCTTCACACTTCTGTTCTGTAATTTTACATGTGTATGAAAGATCAGGATAGTACAGGCAATAAAAAGGTCTTAAAGAGGATAAAGTTATCTTTTTGAATACAAAGGGAATTATAAAAGATGGGGATTTTATAGACATTTCACATGAAGATGATTTGGCAAAAATTGATGACTGGTAATTGAGAAATGAGATTTTCAATTTCTAGTTCATTTCTAATCTCATGTTTGAGGTTTCAAATGTGTGACCACTTTGCTTGTTTGTTTGTTGTTTTGTTTTTTTGTTTTTTTTTGGGGGGGGGGGGGTTATGAAAAAAAAATGTTGGGATGCTCAGTTTAGGTAAATTCTCATCAGACTGCTCATGTAATAAATTTTACACTGATATAAGAAATAGTTCCTGTATTGGTCTTTGAAACCATGGAGAAATAAACTTGTTTTAGCTGTTATGGTATTCATCCCATATTTCTGACTTGGTTTTTTTCAATAAGTACATAATAAATTATCTAGTTCAAATGGATATCTGCAACTTCTCTTCCAATAATTGTACATTCAGTAAATTATAAATTGGATAAATTGGTAGATGCATAGCCCATTGGACTATTTGTGAAGACTGTTTCCAAATATCACTATGGTTGCAGTTCCCAACAAACCCCAAATGTTAAAAATGGAAGTTCACAAAAAACATCTGGTAATTTTCAGCTGCAATGTGATTTTAACCAAAGGTGTTTTGAGTTTATTGGTTGTAATTTTCTTTTATAAATGGTGTATGGATTACACTTTACTCCCACATACATTTTGCCAACTATGTTAGGATTTGCTACTGATATCAAAGAACGTAGCAAAAGTTTTTAACTTGGTCTATTGGCGCACATGGATAAGATATAAATATTTTCCAAATGTTAACTTTAAGAATTAAAGGACCTTTGAAGGAAATCATTAAATGAAAGCCAATGCTTTTTATGTAAAGGAAAATACTTCCATGAATGGAAGCCCCTGCAACATTAGTCATAAAACATGTCTGAAGACTTATTTTATAGACAACTGAATTATAATTGGTTCAGAAATGGTTTTTCAATGTTGGCAAAATAATAATTCATACCTTGAGATTTTAGAAATGGATAATTCTTATTGATTTCCTGCTATGAAATCTAGTAATACAATGTACATGTATTTAAATATCAAATTTTAAATATTAAAGTTTGCATCACTCTAAATTATTGCATACTTTGTCATCCTTAGCAATCAATCAGTTGTGAAGTTTAAATGTAAAATTCAGAGATTACCTGTGAAATTGATACATCAATCAGAAAGAAAGAAAACAAATTATTACCAAACAATTAGGCATACATTTATATCTTGCTGAAATAATTATATCCAGTGCAAAACTCATTTGCATTCAAGTATGGTTCATATCGCTGGATTAAAATAAAGTAGAACTCTGTGACACTTCATGTTTCCAAAGGCCAACAAATCAGAATTTGATTGTGTTGACTTATAGAATTAATAGGCCTGAAAATGATAGAGTGATAAACTTCTTGTTCCGATTATAGTTACTATTAGACACCCTGCAAAGATTGAGTAATCTAAACGTCATCTTAATCTGATGTTATTATTTTCTAGTTGTGTAACATTTTGTCAGAACTAATTTGGACCTTTTGTACCTTTTCACCCGAGAAGATTTTCTGGTGCTTATTCAGAAATATTTATAGCCATTCTTAAATGGACTTTAAATTTGATTCTGGTGATAAAATTTCTTTGCAATAATTCCAGCAGAATTCTGATTTGTTTCACACTCTCCTATATATTTAAACAGGTGGAGCACTTGCATGATTGTGTAAAAATATAACGGTATTTGAGGAAAGACATTTTTGAAAGAAAAGATAATTTTAAATATCCTTTCTACACCGATTTGGACATAACACAGCAGAGAATTATACTGCCAAGTGAATCGCTTTATTGGAAAATTTGAATGGGATATCTAATTGACTTTAAATCTGTGCCTTAATGGATAATAGTACTTTCTCTAAGGAATGTTACATTTGCATGAAAAAAAGGATTTGGTTTAATTTTTAAATTCACTTGTGGACTATACTGCTGTCTACTATGGAAATATTGCCAAATGTTCAAAGGAGTAGATAGGAAGCCAGTTCAATATTTGACAAACTTATCGGAGGCATTAAGGCTTTACATGCTACGCTTGATTTAAATACTTGTGTATTGCGATCTGAATGGCTCTGAATATATAGTAGGGTAGTATTGATTGAACAAAGGGAGAAAATACGTTAATGTGTTGGTGATTGGAATATAAATTTTTGCCCAAAACAAACTTTGGTGACGTAATCCAAATCGGAGAGTGATCTATGCTTATAGACATTGAGAAGAGCTGAAGTGTGGTTAACTTTCTTTTTATGTCCAGTGAATGAGTATTCGAGTGTTTGATTTCTATATAGACCCCCTTAGTTACCACATGTAAAAGATACCTAGAGACAGGTCCTTGTAGTTCTGTTTTGTTTTACCTTGCAAATATTATCTCTAGTGTGTTAAAAAAGTAACATCAACTCAATTTTACCATTTTCGATGGACTCTTTATGGAATTAGGATTTTTGGTGCTGTGAAATGAATGGTATTAATTCACTATGATATAAGTGGTGTTAGATTCTAAGACTTTTTCATAGCGGTTGGACAGTTAAAAAGAAGCTTTGATATGATGACCAAACGCAGGGCTAACCAAGGGCCATCTGGAGACGTCTTCCCAGCTCTACCTGCCATTGATCTTGGCTGGAGAGCTCAGCCAAAGGTCGGATCTCTGGAAAATTCTCACCATAAGCCAGGAGGGGGTCACAAAGAAATCCAGCAGCAAAAACTGCAGTGGTCCGCTGAAGCTAAAGTCGGTTCTCTTGATGACAGTCATTTGCGGAGAAGTCAAAAAAGACCTCGAAGTTTTGATGGAATTGAGTACATCAAATTTCCTAGTATTTATCGTAAAAGAACAAGTGATCTCAATCGATGGGAGGAACCAAAGACAACTGAAGATGGTGCATATGTTCATATCAGGAATAGGAAAATTCAGGCAGGACCAAAAGTAGGGTCATTGGACAATGTCCATTATAAACCTGGGGGTGGTGATGTGAAAATTCTAGATGAAACTCCTCGCTGGGAGACTGCTGCCAAAGTGGGATCTCTAGACAATGTGACTTATTCTGCTGGAGGGGGAAATGTTCAAATCGCCAATGAATCCCTCCATTGGAGAGCTGCACCAAAAGTGGGGTCTTTAGAAAACAAGCATTATACCCCAGGTGGAGGGAATGTTCACATACCTGAACAAAAACTGCAATGGAATGCCTCACCCAAGGTTGGATCAATGGACAACTTTACTTATTCACCTCGAGGGGGAGATGTCAAAATTCTGGATGAGAAACCAAGATGGAGGGCTAACCCAAAAGTTGGATCTCTAGAAAATGCTCACTATCAGCCAAAACAAGGGAATGTGTCTATAATAGATGAGAAACCTGTGTGGGATGCACATGCCAAAGTTAGTTCATTGGACAATGTAACATATCAACCGGGAGGGGGACACAAAACTATAATTAATCAAAGAACTCAATGGAATGCCTCACCCAGGGTAGGTTCATTGGATAATGCTCATTATAAGCCAGGAGGGGGAGAAGTCCATATACACGAAGATAGGCTCAAATGGAATGCTTCTCCAAAAGTTGGCTCCCTTGAAAACAGAACATACAGACCAGGAGGGGGTGAAGTCAGTATTATCAACGAAACTCCTCGCTGGCATGCATCACCAAAAGTGGGATCTCTTGAAAATGCTCAACATCAACCAACGGGAGGAAATGTGTCCATTATCAATGACCCCAAACGTTACCAAAGTGATCCAAAGGTCCACTCTCTAGACAACATTCATTATAAGCCTGGAGGCGGGGACATCAAAGTGCCAATCAAAATTATGCCGTATCCAATTGGATCTCTTAACGATCTTCCTCATCAAGGTGAACGCAGCTCCCGATCATCTCCACGATCGTCTCCACGCAGCATGAGCAATGTAACAGCCGCCCGACGCCGATTTAGTCATGCTAGTTCTATTCGTACTGTTTCTTGATTTATCAAAAAGTCGTAAGTTGTAAGATGTGTATCTGCATGCAATTTTTTTTTTGTTGTGAGGCTTTTTTTGTTTTCTAATGAAATTCAGATGATGTTTTTCCTAACACAATGCATGAATTTTTCAATAATTTATGATTGATTATCAAAATAATCTAAGTAACAAATTTTTTGGTCTTTGTGGCCAGATTTTACTTTATCAATATATCTGGGGGAGGGGGAAACTCAAAACTAAGGTCACAATTGACACAGTGCTAGATTACAAATCTTTTTCAAATATTCACAATGGATAATGTTGTTAATAATTAATAAATTTGTATATATCATAAATATCCTTTAATTGAACAGTTGCAGATAGGGATAATTTTAATATTGATTAGCATTATACCCTAATGTATTTTCATAAGATCTTATTTTTTATTTATTAGTCTTAGGATAACCCAACCAAAAATTGTTTCCATCTGTCACTGTGTTTTGGTGGCTAAAACGCTGTGTAAAATATAGAAATTGGTACTACTAAAATATGCAGCATTTAATACACCTAAAGAGAAATGGTTAGATCTCAAGGGGAAAATTTAGGAATAAATACCATGTATTAAAACTTGGATTAATATGAAATCTCTTGCTTAAATCTATATTTAAATGGTTTTGACCTGCATGCACCAGCATTGTTTGATTAAATGGTTTCAGATTTTACTGGCAGTGTCAAGCATTGAAAGATATTACATAAATTTTGACATTAAGAAAAAAAAGTTAAAATGTGTTTTGAAAAAAATATTTTCTGAATTTCAAATGCATGCAAGCAATTGTATATTGGGTTATTTGCTTCAAATACGATTTGCACAAGATGGCGTCACTGGGTTTGGTTACATATGCCACAGCTCGCTGTAAGGAGACAATCGGTTTTTGCAAATCAAGTTTAATACAATGCAAATACACTGAAATATCATATTTCCATGCTGTTTGTTAATTAATCTGATAAGACAAAATCATTATGTTTTTAATTTGTTGCATGTTTCTTCTATTCAGAATCATAAAGCTTATCAAAAAGAAAACCATTAACTAATCTTTAATGTATGCATGAATGTGATTTTTTTATGTTTGAATAATATTAACAACATTAAATTATAAATGTTCTCTGAATATAGGAAAGCACAGTCGATTAAACAGTCGGGCATCCTCCACCAGTAAAGGATGATGGGATGTCGTAAGTGGGTAGATGGAAAACTTTCGATTCCATTTCAGAGTAGATGCTGGGGTTGTGTAGAATACACACATATTCTTTGCTAATCAAAAAGTATTTTTTGTTGTAGATATATAGGCTTTTTGGTTTGGTAATCATACCTTTGAGCAGAATATTCATATCTTATCAAAAAAGGGCTTTTCAGAGATGCTCATTCTATATAAACCTTTTTCTCATCCTTTCATTTTGGGACAACAATGAATTTTGTCTAGCTCCCACTGAGAACACAGACTGGCTTGCTCAAGTGATTTGAATTCAATAAAAAATACAAGAGAAAGCTCAGAGATTTGAAAGAGCAATCTTCAGAATTTATAATTGCATGAGAGTGAATTGGCAGATGTAATGAGAATTTTTTCTTTTCAAAAAAAAAAATTCTTGAGCAAGCTTTGAACAATCATTTTCATCAAGGTATTGGGATCTTGTATTGCACATCAAAATCTGCATTTGCTCAAACATTTTGTTGACCATCACCATTCTTATTCAGGGTCAGAAGTTCAGGGAAATAGACACTCCAGATAATTGATGGTTTGTATAGCATTTGTCTCCCCTTGCTCTGCTGTGACATCACCTTTGGCTTTCACGTCTTTGCCATGGTAAATTAAACATGGTGTAATGGCTTGGGTATATCCTATTTCACAATGTAGATTAGTAGATAAAATGTGATATTTTAATTTTATTAAGCACTTTGATCTGTATATAGTCGGGGGGGGGGGGGGGGGGGGGGGGGGGGGTTAATATGTTTAGAGGCCACATAATATTTTTTCAGGAAGTATATTGTTGCACATTTATGTTGTTAACAGTCATATAAAATCAATGGAGGTATTTATCTTTCAAGGTAGAGCTTGACTAGGAGAGAATTTAGCATGTAACATGAAATGATTAATTTTTGAGGCACACGGAATTTAATATATTTTGACATGGGAAGTAAATATCTGTTTTTAATCAACTTGAAGTTTGTACAAGTTGGAATGATTGTTTTCAACCAAAAAATGTTTTAAATTTGCCAGGAACTATTTGCATAACAAAAATAGGGGACTTTGAAATGAGATTTACAATTAGAAGTCACCATTTTCTCCCCTTTAGAAATATGAATAATATTGAACCTATTGGAAGTGAGGTATATTTTGTTGAGTCTATATATGATTAATAAGAAACTCTCATGGAGAGAAGACAGCTCTAATTTATTTTTTCTCTTCTCTGCAATTTTAATCACATTAGAAACATCTATTTAATATAACCTAGTCAGAATTTCAAATGCTCAAAAACACGAGTTTATAAGTGTCATGGAAGTAGTACTTCAAAACTCAGCTTGACGACACGGAAAAATTATCTGTGTTTTGTAAGTTTACAACTGTTTATACAGATATAGCATGGAACAGACAGGACAAATATTACCTTTATAGAAAATGGTCTTTAAATATTGACTCTCTGCAGGGATACAATCCACTGTGATGTCAATATATATATTTTTTAGGTGTAATTTCTGTAAGAACTGTAAATCCCCATATCTTACATTACAAACAGTGGATATTGTAAATATTGGACAATTTGTGGAATGCAAGTTGAAGGGCTGTGCTCATAAAAAGGTGGATCTTTTTAATAGTTCAATTAGAAATTTATGTTTAGGCAGCACTTGAAAAATATCTTTACCAGTATTTAATGACATTCTTGAAGGTGTTTGTTGCTATAGTACAGCATGTTGGTTAAAAGTGTCCATTACGGGGAATTTTTTTTCATACCCTAGCACTAACTTGTTCAAACAAAATATAAAATATAGCATTTCATTTCTTATTCTCAAAAATTAATTTTCTTTTTATGTACTGTTTCAAGAGTAATTATATTATCATTTAACATATCTAATTATAAATATCTTTGATTTTTTTCTTGCAATGTATTATACAAATATTGTGCCATTTAAACATAAAATAGGATGAGTACAAATATATATTCTAAAGAAATGCCTGATTTTAAAACAGTGATGCTATCTTCGTACACATTCAAAGTGACTTAATTCTTTATTGCTAAGTCCACAACTTTCAATACCATGTAATAAAATGTTACATTTTTCAATTGCAGATAGAAACACAAAAATTAAACTTCAAGGAAGGCGCCAAGTCTCTGACGGATTCAGGGACCGCAACTCCAAAAGTCCGCACAGAAAGCGCGAACTCACAAGATAGCGCCAACTAATCACCCCCTTCATTTTCATCAACTCAATTTCTTTTTCGATGTCAAGGTGGCTCAGACTTCATAATTGGATGTGTCCTGATAGAGATGTTCTACTGGAATAGACAGAAAATCGGGATTTTTAACAATTCATGTTCTTTCTGACGATGTGGGCAAGCTTATGGTAATTCTATTGTGATGCTTCAAGTTTAGCTGTATATAGAGAACAAAGGGACATAATCCACCTTGATTTTTTTTAACTGTTAATCAGTACATTTCGAACAAAGTACAATCACATATACTTAAATTGATTATAGAACGTATACTTTTTGAGGAATTTTCAATTCAGTCATTTGCATACTTTAAGATATTATTGCACAAAATAGTAGTGAATACTGAATAGGTTGTAATTTATTAAATGCTTTTTCTTGTACTTTAGGAAGAATTCATAGATATTATTCAAAGAAAGGAATTTGTATTATTTCAAAAAAAAATTTAATAAATTTCAATCACTCATAAAAAAGATGAACTCACAATATGAGATTTTGTAGGTCAGATACTTATAATTATTTGTTAATCACTTAATTATCAGTGTCTAGTCTTTGCTGTATTTTTGAATTGTGTTAATTGTCATTTCTTTGTATATTTTTCTCTGCACAATGAATAATGAACCCACAACTAGAAAACAGGATTTTTTCATGCCATGACAAATGCTGTGTTTTTAATTATGTATGTGGAGAAGGTCTTTCGTATGTTGTTAAGTTTGTGTTTTTTTATATTTCATTGTTCTAAGAGTTTTATTTCAAATTTTGGTTGTACATTTCCATTTTTTAATTTTGAAATAGATTTACATCTATCTGTCATTAACAGTTAAGGAAATTAAGTCTTAGGTTGAAGCAGATGAAGATTATGTAAGATTTTCTGTTTGTTTTGTCCAAAGGAGAATTTTTCTAATACTTCCGTGATTCTTCCATGATGCTTGTGTAATAAAATGCTCTAGTGGAAGCTTTTCATCAGCACAGTTTATTTTTCTCCTTGTGAATTTACCTAGCACTTCTTTCATATACTCTACAAACTCTACATCTACTTCCAACAAAAACATTTCACAAAGGAAGGGAAATAACTCTTGAACAGTGTGGTAGATTGAACTTTCAAAATTTTTTATCAGTGCTTAAATAAAAGTATTTAGAAATAAATGAAAGATGTTTTAAATTTTGTCAATGTAATTTATTTTATTATGAGGAGAATACATCTAGTTTAAAGCACTTCTATTTATTGCACGTAGCATGTGTCCTCAATTATAATAAAAAATGTTTGATTTTTCTAAATATATTTACATTTCCACTTTTTCAATGATATATTAAGAATACATTAAAGGCTGTCATTGTGAATTTATAATGCTGGTATACCAAAGTTTATGGTATTAAATTCAGTACATTTACTGGAAGAAATGTCACATGCAGTTTTCTGTTTTTAGTATATTGCTCTATATTCTGAAGTAGGTAGATTTTAGTTATAAGCACTTGTAGTTGATCTATGTAACATTGCTTATAGATATGCATTAAACTATAAAAACAATCCACTTTGTTGTTTTGAGGCAATATCTTTCTGCCTTAAGAGAACACATGTTTTACACTATCACTTGAGGTTAAATCTTATCAAAACTTGGTCAGATTGACCCTAAGTTTCAAGACTCAGTGGGGGGGGGGGGGGGGGGGGGGGAGCTAATTCTTGAATTCTGGATCATATATATTAATGTTGAGACAGTGTCAATTACAGTATAGACAAAATATGGCTTTCACTAGTAATTCTAGTATAGCTAGGCATTAAATGATTATTTTTACAAATTGAATCCTAAAAGTCATATGAAGTGTGGCATGCTTAAAACTTGAATATATCAGATGTGCCTAGAGAAAATATGAATATGTATACTGTAAACTTCTTATTTGACATACTGTCACGAATTCCAAGAGTTAACAATTATAGATACATTACTTCAATTGCAAATAAAATCTTTTTATTGACTCCTGAATATTGCCATCCAGTCTACACTTGCAGATGCAACAGTCGTAGCTGTACTGGGTTTAACTGGTTCTCTGCAAGGGCTGTTCAATTGAGGACATATATAATGTGGTACAATAAATAAAAAATATATTGATTTAATTTTTATTGTCTTATTTTTGACAGCAATCATCAAATAATTCCGCACAGTCAAATAAATAAAAATATTGCAATGGAAAAAATATATATACATGTGTATTTATAGCATTGAACAGATGTGTCAAGCTAGAATAGATCATTTTGTCAATGTGATATCATGATTTAGGAAACTAAAGGAAATGAATGATCTTCAAGAAATATGGGGAAATATCATTAGATTGTAATTGAAGTATATTAGTTTCTCTCTTTTTCTTGAAATAAGAGGTTTTAAATTTTCCCATTTTAAGATCCACAATGACCTTGATTAAGAGGGGAAAATTTTTACTGAAAAATCATTTGATTTCATGGTTGAAGAAGTTAACATGATTTAAATTTTGAAATTTTAACATTTTGAGACATGCATGAATTCATGGCTAGCTTCACACCACAAAAACAATGAGTGAGTCTATGATCCCTAGAGTGTGTTCATCATGAGAGCAAGATTAGATCCTTTGAGTGTGTTTATGAGAGCGAGTCTATGATCTTTAGAGTCCTTTTCACACATTCCACAGGATTACCAATATCCTCCGGTAAGGGTGATGGCTGAAAGAGAAAAGAAATGACCTCGGTGAAATACACTTAACATCACAATAAATAAAATTGAATCTACACACCTTGAGGATGCTTGCTTGGTAATCTGATTAATTGTGGCTTTTTCTTCTTCAGATTTTTTTTTTCAAAAATTTATCTGTTATCATAAAATGTTCCCTGAAAAAGCAACATTCCAGACTTTTGGTTCATGATATGAACCAATCAGAATCTGTAGAATTCAGTTTGTACTAGTCTTTTGTGCTTGGTGGGTTTTGAAAAGATTTTTGCGAACCCATCCTCTTTTAACTTTCAATTAATAAGCCTATCTTAAAGTGGCATTGCCCCTCACTGGAATATACTTGACCTCTCTCCCCCACCCCACCCCCCTCTTTAAGATTCTATATGTGAAAAATTAATAGACATATGCCAGAAAAGAGATGAGAGGCAAACTTGGATCAAATAAGCTTACTTGAGAATTTGGGCCAGGTGAGCTATAAATGTAAATATTGAAGTTAAACACTACTTACAGTCATATTTCCACTCAGTTTGGACATTTCTATGGACTTTTCCATCTAAAAACCAGTAGCCCTTTTCACAAAAAATCTTACGACATATTCTGGCCTTCTGTCGTATCTACGTGATTTGGGTTTAAAGGGGCATGAGCCCAGATTGAAATTTATAACTTTCAAAATTTTCAGTAGAATTTTAAGACTTATTTCATGCAAGAGTGTTTCAGATCAATAATATTATGAAAACCTGTTTAGAAAGGTCTTTAATCTGAAAATTATCAAACGACTTTCGGGCGTGTTTGATTCTCATATATCCTTGCACTTTCATGAATTTATTTTTTTTACTTGATATTCAAAAAAGTGGGAAATCTGAGTTGTTTTCATAAAAGCTATTAAACCTATAATCAAGAAAATTCAGAAAAGAAATGTAAGAAAGCAAATCCAACACACCAGTGTTGTTGATGTTAGCAATGTCAGCAATTCGAACACACCTGGTTAAACTGTAACATTAACAATAACGGAGCTCGCGTGTTTACAAACACAGGTGTTTGTTATAAGGTTATGAAGAATTCTGTTGTCATCGAGTATTAAGAATTTTCATGCAAGTTCATTAAACTATTTTTCAAATAAAATAAAAATTTGAAATTTATTGTAAACAAAACGGCAAAGCAAGTGTGTCCATGCCTCTTTAATTGCTTTGAGATATCAAATCCCTTTCTAGACCACGTAAATTATTGAACAAATGGCAGCATAACACAAGTAAAAAATATAGTGAGAAAAAAAAAACACTGTTCATTCATTTAATTGTCCATTATTTAAAGCAAAAGTTTTTCCATCCTCTTGATTTCCGATTTATGTTTTATTAGAGTAATACTCTACGGACATCGGTGTAGTATAACCAATTAAAGTTTATGACATTCAGCTTATCCTTACTGATTTAGCGTGTATTACAGTCAGCTTATCCTTACTGATTTAGCGTGTATTACAGTCAACCTTACCGATTTAGCATGCATTACATCAGCTTTGATTTGCCGGTTGAGCATGCATTATCATAACAGCTAGTCAATTTAGCCTAACTGATTTTGCGTGTATTACAGTCATCTCAGCCTTACTGATTTAGCATGCATTACATTCAGCTGAGCATTACGACTTTGCTTGTATTACAGTCAGCTTAGCCTTACCGATTAGCGTGTATTACAGTCAGCCTTACCGATTGGGCGTGTATGATAGTCAGCTTAGCCTTACTGATTGGGCGTGTATTACAGTCAGCTTAGCCTTACCGATTTAGCGTGAATTAGTCAAATTAGCCTTACCGATTAGCGTGTATTACAGTCAGCTCAGCCTTACCGAATTAACTTGAATTACAGTCAGCTTAGCCTTACTGATTTAGCGTGTATTACAGTCGTGTCATGTTGTAAATTTTGAATTTACCGGGTGGCAGTAAATACAAAATTTACAACATGACAACTAAATTTTGTATTTACTGCCACCCGGTAAATTCAAAATTTACAACATGACAGTCGCCTTACCGATTTGTATTACAGACATTGTAGCCTTACCGATATAGCGTGAATTACAGTCAGCTTCGCCTTTCCGAATTAATTTGTATTACAGACAGCTTAGCCTTACCGAGTTAGCGTGTATTACAGTCAGCGTAGCCTTACTGATTAAGCGTTTGTTATATACAGTCAGCTTAATTAGCCTTTCCGAAATTGTGTGTAAAACAACTTAGCCTTACCAATTTAGCATATACTACAGTTAGCATAGCCTCACCGATTTAGCATGTATTACAGTTAGCGTAGCCTTACCGATTTAGTTTGATTACAGTTAGCATAGCCTTACCGATTTAGCGTGTATTACAGCTGGTAGTTCTATATTTTCCTTCTTTTCTTCATCTTCTTCTATTTGATCATCAACTTTAGCAAATAATCTGCTTTCGCTCTCCTCCCCTTGTTTTATTTTTGGTTCTTCGTCCTCTGCCGATGAGCGATTCTCGTAAGCTGCCTTTTGTTCTTCAAAAGAAAGTACACGTAAACTTATTTTTAATCAAGTTAATCAGTTCATTCAGGTTCCAATACTTAGATACGTATAGATGGTATACAATAATTAATTATGTAACTTTTAACGATTCCTTACGAAATTTAATTTGAAAGTAAAGGTACTCATGGACAGCCCCCCCCCCCCCCCCCAATCATCAGACCATTTGATTAAAGGTAAAGGTAAGATATTCTGTACATATTTTAAAATTTGCAGAACAGTTGAATATCTAGCTAAGACATTTTTTTGTATTAAAACATTTTGTTATTAGTTTCACTAAAATCAAGTTGTAGAAGATATTATGTCATTGCGGGAATATTTCATTATTTGCACTACAATATGATGATTTTTATTCTCTAATGATAGTTAGAAAGCACACTTCCCCCAAAAGAGGGAATGACTTCTGCATTTCTTATGCTCCTCTTCGAGAAAACATATGCACTTCACGCGCCCCAACTTTATGAATATGCGACTTCAAAACTTTACACAACCATTCCCCCCATGCACGATGAATTAAAGTCCAGGCTTTTTGACATCATAAGTAGCTGCTTTTTAAATAAAAATGGAACTCGTAAATTTACTTACCTTGTTATTTGTCATTTGCAAATTTTTTTATTAAAAACATTTTGATTGTACACAAGTACCCCGAAGTTGATATTAAAAAGATGCTGAGTTTCTGATTGTCAATAGCTACATGTATGTAGTTTTTGGAGATCAAGTCTTCCTAAAATATGTCGGAATTCCCATGGGTCCCAATTGCCCCATTATATAAGCAGATCTATTTTTATATTCATATGAAACAGAACTTCTACATGAGAAGAAGAAAACACTTGCTGTGACCATCAACTCGAATTTAGATATATCGAATAGTTACTTCCATTCATACTCGATATATCAGTGAACTTAAAAATGAAAGATACCACAGAGTCTGACACATCTGTTTCATATTTGGATATTTTACTAAAAAAAGACGTTAATGGTAACCGAACATAACTTTATGCTAAACATGATGACTTCAACTTTTCTATCGTCCTTTCTCTACCCAGAGTTATCGTTCCTGTGTTGTAGGGTAGCGTAATACGTCCTCTGGTGAGAGAGTGGGAGTTTATGTCCCCCAGATGACTTGATACGCAAGAGCATGGTCTAAGTAGGAACGATTTCTAAAACGAGGCAAGCTGTTGACAAACAAGTTGATTAAGCAAAGATATCTGACAACAGTCTCTTTTGAAGTTAACATTTTGCAAGTTCTATGGTCGATTCAGCAAATATATTCTATCATTTAGTCGAATGCTGACTGACGTTTTTTCATACTAATTGTTAAGCCATTATTTGCACACTGAATTGTCTACGGATTTTTCCGTTTGCCTGATCATTTCAAGGAGTACACGACGGGTGTGACCGGTCGACAGGGGATTCTTAATCCTCCATGGCACCTGATCCCACCTCTGGTGCTTTTAAAGGTCCGTGTTTGCTCTGCCCCCAATTTGTATTATTTCAATGGACTTTTGAACTTCATTACTGTTATTTATCTTCATATTTTAATTTCATTTTCTTTCTTAGTTTATGTGAAGAATTTTACGTTTAGAATTAATTAAGGGATATTTATAATGTACTTCATATACAAATATCTGCAAAAGAGAACCTGAAACAAAATTATATCTTAAAAAATATACTCTTACCACAGTCAGAGTATTTCTTGTAACTCTTTGGAGTCATAGTATATGCTTTACCAGAGAAGTCGTTTATTTTATACACCCATATTTTCAAGGAATACGCTGTTAATATGTCCCTGAAGAATAATTCTCCAAATTTGTATCGTTTCATTGGACTTTCGAGATCGAATACTGTTCGTTATCTTCATATTTAATCTTAAAAAAACAACAGCTCCAAGAGTGTATTAATTAAAAAAAAAACAGGGGATGTACACAAACACTTGTGTGTCCTTAATAATAGATGGCATAAGAATTTAGTAGAAAACGGAATAGAATATTTTATAACTATAACTTTAGAATTATAAATCGTGAAAAAAAAATCTGACCCAAAACCCATCTCGTCTTTTCAGGTCAAGATGATTATTTGTAATCTGCCTACCTCTCAACTTCTTAAGCTTCTCTTGGCTCGTTGATGCTTTATGAAAAGTTGTAAACATTGCTCTGATGTAAGGGCAAAAGTTTGTAAATTTCTTTGTAAGATTGTCGTTAATTTTTTCTTATTAAATGACTCCATGCAAAAAGAAGAAAAATAATCAGTGGTGCTTAGCTTTTCAGACCAATTCATGGAACTTGCTCTTCAATAAATATTAAAAACTGCTATTCTTTAAAAGTACAGGCGTATCATCTAATTCTGTAGACAAGTGAAATCTTATCCACTCTGAAAATTAAAATGTTGTTGTTGTTTAAAATTTGGAACATCGTCAACGTCAGGGCGTGTACACTGGGCTACAGATCTGTAGCTCGCTCACTGATCTGAAAACTGGGATACAAATTCATCTAATTAAGTTTTTCGAATTAGTGAGCTACAGATCTGTCGTTAATTTCCATCGTTAATTTCCACTTCCACATAGCCTACAAACAGATAATATGCAAAAACCCTAAAAGGCGTTCAGTCAAGGTCGTAGTTATCAGAATCAGGATTCTGTTAAACACTAATTCTGGAAGTATACTTGCCCATTTACAGAGAAAAAGGGAAAACAAAGGAATTAGTGCATGCTCAATGTTTCCGTGTCTACACATAAATCCATACAAACCTAATACATCAGCTTCATCTATATATATACCAGGTTTCCAATGGAAAACAAATACCCAAAGCATCGATGTAAGGAGGTCGATAATCCGAACGTTATAGTTAATGGCACCGGGCTTGTTTGAATATTGTTTGTTTGATGTCCATTTCGGAGATAAATTATCTTATTAAATTTTCATAACTACAAGACTTGATTGGAGCCAGGGACCTTTGATGACGCCTCCAGGAATAAATATGCAACCTGAAATCTGTGTCTTATTTTTAGGAGTAAAGTTATTTCAACTCTCTTTTTGCAACAGAAAATGCACTATTTGCATTCATATTTCTACTCGATGGAATAAATTATGAACAATATTAAAAAACGATTAATTAAAGGCTGGTGTAACGTTAGTTTTTTAATCATCTGATGTCAAACACAGACTAAAGACAAATACATGCGTGTAAAAAGCACCGTCAATGCCAACAGCCTAGGAGTTCCATTAGCTAAATTTTCTCCGATGTTACTTGTAAAACAAATGTATTTATGAGTCCTCAAATAAATTAATATGTTTTAAGGGCCTCTATACACTAATGAAAAATGTTAATCGGACATTGAGGAAATTATATCATATTTAAGAGTGTAAAATATTGCGTTTTCTGTTTCATTTTCAGCATTAGGTACCAGCCTTTTACTCCCAGGAAAAATATTCTCAGACAACGAAAAACCGATGAACAGGAATCACTGTTGGGTTATACTTACATGTAAACAGGGAAGATACATAAAAATAAATTGTCATTTCATCTATCTTTGCCCCATAAAACAATAGAAACTGATTACAATTAAGTTAATACACTGAATATTTCAATTTAGTTTAACATATAAAAGCATATCACTTTGCATAAAAATACCAAGGAAGTAGAACTCTTTAGTGTGCCGTGTATAGAGGGTCCTTAATGAAAAACAAGAGTACCAGCACTGTACCTGTCTCGATATTTGAATCGTTGTCTTCATCCTGTAAGTAAAACATTCCTGCAGGATCCGCCCCAGCATTTGCCTCCGTATTTCCATCATGTAATGCCCAGTCTGTGACGGAATAAGACTTATTCATGATGTCCTTATATATATTTTCTGATCACAAAATTTATATGTACAGGTCTAATATCTAACTCCCGTGAGAATTTGTTTACCGTCGCCGAACACAAAGATGCTTTTATGTCTCATTTCTATACCCAGGCAAAGAATCATTTATCAGTTGAGCAAAATTGTTAAAGGGGGACATCAATAGACGATTTACAAAACATTTAAATGGATTTATATGACATAAAGTTTATTTTCCATATTTCTCCTAAGTTAACAATACGAGGTGAGTAAGGTATTTAGTAATTTGGTCTCTTAACTTTATCTTGGTCAATGGACACGTATGATATAGGTAGTGTACCGAGTACAAGTACATGTACTTCTAAATGTGAAAATCAGAGCGGTCAACTCATTTTTACATTTCTGGGAGATAGAGCTATACGACAAAGATGACAGTGCAGCTCAGAATCTTCAAAGGTTGAAGGGGAGGGGGGGGGGTATATACGAGTTACAATTAGTTATAGAATACAGATTTTTAGTCTTTTCTATTTGAGTGGGGGGGGGGGGGGCAAAACACTACCTCTACTCAACAAATTAATTATTTTAAAAACCTTCTTTGATGCTAGCAGTGTCTTGGAACTTACTACACTTAATAAATTCTACCAGTGTCTTGTGCTTTTTTCGGCACATTCAATAAATAACTGACGAGGAAACGAAAATTTTGAATTGTTTCGATTGATAATTTTTAATTTTCTAGACCTTTCCAATTGTCCGAAAGGGTTGGTTTCAACAGATCAAACTAGAGTCTAATGGGAAAGGAAAGTTTCATATGTCTAAACAAGAGGCCCAAGGGCCTTAATGGTCACCTGAGTATTATACAACATTGCAAAGGATCCACAGAAGTATGAAATAAAATAAAAGAATAAACTGATAGATGATCGAAGCTATATTGCCCAAAAGCAAGAGAAATCAAATGATTAGGGATCAACAAAACAATTAGTCTATTACTCAGTAACAAATGTTAAAAGCGAATCTATTAACTAGTACTTTTCAGTACCTGCCCCCATTTGTCACTATCACCATTATGACTAACTAAGCAAAACGAAAGTGCTTCAGCACTATTAGAATATCAATTGCATTCCTTCTCACACTAGTCTCTCTTGTTCTCTCAATTTTGGAAGAGGCACATTTGCTAATCATAACTATGCACTTAATTTGATTTTTTTTCTTCATACCCAGGAGAAGAAGATTTTCAAAGAATTTATACAGTTTCAATGTATGATCATTAGAGCCCTGTCCTAACGACAGAACCCCTGAACCTGGGGCTACAAATTTCACAATTTTTGGAAGAGGCACCCTTGCTCATCATAACCAGGCACCTAATTTATCTTCTAAATATACAGGGTGAGAGAAGATTTTTAAAGAATTTATGTATTTTCACTATATGTTCATTAGAGCCCTGCCCTAACTCCAGAACCCCTAACCCTGGGGCCATGAATTTCAAAATATTGGTAGAGGGCTCAGTGCTTAATTTCAATCATGCCAACAGATTGATGTTAAGGAGAAAAGAAGAAGATCTTTAAAGAAAACACTAATTTGATTGTTTTAGCCCCACCCCTCAGGCCGCAGTGGGACAAGGACCATGAAATCACAATTTTTGTACCCCTTCACCAACTGATGCTATATGCCAAAATTGGTTGAAATTGGTTCAACGGTTTAAGAGAAGCTGAAAATGTTCAAAAGTTTGCGACCGACGCACGACAACAGACAAAAAGAGATAGCAATATGTCACCTGAGTGACTCAGGTGACCTAATAAAATTCAAACGTTTTAATTAAAATATCTTGTGAATTCCAACCAACTGTTCAGTATCAACAAGAGGCCTAAGGGCCTTAATGGTCACCTGAATATAATACAACCTTGTTAAGGATCCAAAGAATTGTAAATAATTATTCAATAACGCAAAATATACTGAAAGAAAAAGAATGATCAGGGCTCAACAAAATAGTTAGTCTGGTAATAAGCAACAACTCAGAAACTCGTCTGTAAACTAGTAACTAACAAGCAACTCTACTGCATAACAGGAGGCCCAAGGGCCACATCGCTCACCTGAGCACTGTGGCTAGGAAAAAAGGAAATATCAGTTTAGTATTGAAAAGCTTAAATGCATAAGTGGTCTCAACCTACCCCTAAAAAGGGAGGGGGTGGGGAGGTGTCATGATTTGAACAAACTTGAATCTACACTATCTGAGGATGCTTCCACATAAATATGACAAACCGTGGCTTTGCTGTTCTTGAGATTTTTAAAGATTTTTCCTATATATTCCTATGTAAAACTTTGATCATTCATTGTGGCCCCACCCTACCCCAGGGGGTCATGATTTGAACAAACTTGAATCTACACCACCTGAGGATGCTTCCACATAAATATGACCAATCATAGCTTTCCTGTTCTTGAGAAAAAGATTTTTGAAGATTTTTCCTATATATTCCTATGTAAAACTTTGATCGTCCATTGTGGCCCCATCCTACCCCCGGGGGTCATGATTTGTACAAACTTGAATCTACACCACCTGAGGATGATTCCACATAAATATGACCAATCATAGCTTTGCTGTTCTTGAGAAGAAGGTTTTTGAAGATTTTTCCTATGTACACCTATGTTTAACATTGATCGTCCATTTTGGCCCCACCCTACCCCTGGGGGTCATGATTTGAACAAACTTGAATCTACACCACCTGAGGATGCTTCCATATAAATATGACCAATCATAGCTTTGCTGTTCTTGAAAAGATTTTTCCTATATATTCCTATGTAAAACTTTGATCGTCCATTGTGGCCCCACCCTACCCCCGGGGGTCATGATTTGTACAAACTTGAATCTACACCACCTGAGGATGCTTCCACATAAATATGACCAATCATAGCTTTGCTGTTCTTGAGAAGATGATTTTTGAAGATTTTTCCTATGTACACCTATGTTAAACATTGATCGTCCATTTTGGCCCCACCCTACCCCTGGGGGTCATGATTTGAACAAACTTGAATCTACACCACCTGGGGATGCTTCCATATAAATATGACAAACCGTGGCTTTGCTGTTCTTGAAAAGATTTTTCCTATATATTCCTATGTAAAACTTTGATCGTCCAATGTGGCCCCACCCTACCCCCGGGGGTCATGATTTGTACAAACTTGAATCTACACCACCTGAGGATGCTTCCACATAAATATGACCAATCATAGCTTTGCTGTTCTTGAGAAGATGATTTTTGAAGATTTTTCCTATGTACACCTATGTTAAACATTGATCGTCCATTTTGGCCCCACCCTACCCCTGGGGGTCATGATTTGAACAAACTTGAATCTACACCACCTGAGGATGCTTCCATATAAATATGACAAACCGTGGCTTTGCTGTTCTTGAGAAGAAGATTTTTGAAGATTTTTCCTATATATTCCTATGTAAAACTTTGATCGTCCAATGTGGCCCCACCCTACCCCCGGGGGTCATGCTTTCTACAAACTTGAATCTACACCACCTGAAGATACTTCCAAATAAACGTGACCAATCATAGCTTTGCTGTTCTTGAGAAGAAGATTTTTGAAGATTTTTCCTATATATTCCTATGTAAAACTTTGATCGTCCATTGTGGCCCCACCCTATCCCCGGGGGTCATGATTTGAACAAACTTGAATCTACACTACCTGACAATAGTTCCACATGAGTTTCATCTTTCCTGGCCCACTGGTTCTTGAGAAGAAGATTTTTCAATAATGCCATTAATTTTTTGCTATTTCATAATTATCTCCCCTTGGAGGAGGGCGTGGCCCTTCATTTGGACAAACTTGAAACCCCTTCACCCAAGGATACTTTGTGCTAAGTTTGATTGAAATTGGCCCAGTAGTTCTGGAGAAGAAGATAAAAATGTGAAAAGTTTACGACAAAAACGACGCCGCCGACGACGACAGACAACGGACAAATTTTGATCAGAAAAGCTCACTTGAGCCTTCGGCTCAGCTGAGCTAAAAACATACTGAACATTATAAATTACGTCTTAATCAAATATACTACCATGCCTGAACATTTAATTGACCTATGCTGCCTCATTGATGTAAACCAATAGCAGCGGGTGTCCGAAACCAATATTTTCTCGATTAGCACTACGTGATGTACCAATTAATCGAATAATATATAATTGATATGACTCCGGATTCTTCATACATAATTTGGTGTTGTGACAAGGATATGTAGATAACAGGTGTATATTCTAGAATCACTTTTCACTTTGTTTTTTTTTATTCGTGGTTTGACCACCCGTGGTTTGCCGGTGAAAGTCCTGCCAGGAGCAAATAAGAACTTGGGTTGTGTCTTTGATGGTCAAGTCAATTTAAGGAGGGAGGAATGTAGTGGTTTGGGCCATGAATAAAAGCCTAGATAGCTCAGTAGGTAGAACACCTGATTAGTTATGCAGGGGTCCCAGGTTTGATTCTAAGTCAGCCATATATTTGTTCCTTTCGTGTTACATGTACAATACATATGCACTTAGTTTGTCTGCTAAATATACAGGAGCAGATGATATTTGAATAATTAATGCATTTTCACTATGTCATCTATACAGCCCCCGACCCCCCGGGGGGGGGGGGGGAGGGGGGGGGCATAAATTTAACTATTTTAGTAGAGGGCTTAATGCTTACTCATGTAAATCACTTTTTATGCGCGAGAACTTTATTTTCGCGTGATTACACGAGTCTGTCTGCTCACGGAAAATTTTATTCTCGCACCTCTTTGTATTGTTAAGGATTACATAAAAAAGAAACCACTGCTCATGAAAAATTTATCTTGCTTATAAATACCAAAAAGCTATCTCGCAAAAATAAGGTGTCGTGAAAATATAGTGATCTACAGTATTATAATCATGCCAACATTTTAACTGCTTGGTGTAGAGGACAAGAAGATTTTTAAACAGTGCATAAATGTTTAGTTTTAACCCCATCTCTCAGGCCCAGGGGGAGGGGGTGGACCATGAAATTCATAAATCTTGTTTCCTTTCACCCATAAATGCTATTTGCTAAAATTGGTTGAAATTGGTTCAGCGGTTCCAGAGAAGCTGAAAATGTTCAAATGTTAATGCACAACAAATGACTTTGGACGAAAACAGATGGCAATGGGTCACCTGACTCTGATGACATAAACAATAAATATTATCCACAAGCTGCAGTTGTCTCTCTGTTAAAATACATACTAGTTTGTACCTCCAAGATTACATTCTTCCATAATGAATTTATGCTGAACAAGAGATGTTTGTGAAACACTTATGCCCCCCCCCCCCCCCTTAATAATTAGAATTTTTCTGAGTCCATGGGGCATAACTCTGTTCAAAAATTGCTCGATCGTACCCAAAACAATAAATCTGTATACCAAATTCCATTTCAGTATGTGCAACCTCTGCCTAGAAAATGAACGGAAACTGTTGGTGGACCGACAGACAGACCGACCGATCGACAGACAGCAGCAAAGCGATATGCCCTCCCTTCTTGAAAGGGGGGGGGGGGGGCATAAATATTTACCGATATGATGAACATGAAACATTTCATATTAGCCAATATTCAGTATCTGGTGTTTGCATTTTTAAAACACCTCCATCCCTCCTTTCAATAAGACATGAAACAATGATAATTTCATCACATTTTAATTTGTTCAAGCAGTCTGATCCATTTAGATATATAATATCTTACTGTATAAAAAGTCATTCATACTTCACCAAGTACACTATCACTTAAATTTGACAATGTACAAGTGAGTCATTCACACTAGTACTAAATTGCTGGGAAATGGTATGGAATTCAGTTATATAACATATGAAAACCATTCACAACAGTCACCAATGTTCAAACACAATAAAGTCCTGGTCACTTAATAATTTATATGTCTTTTATATTTGCATACTGTTTCCATATTTACAGCTAGACCTGAAAAAAAAAAAAGATTCATGTATATTATCCATATCTTTAAATTATGTAAAGTACCTACATGCTATGTTTAGTATATGCATAAATGATATACATGTACATATATACTATACTTTAACAAGAGGCCCATGGGCCACAGCGCTCACCTGAGTACTTTGGACTTGCTGTTTTTCACCTGATTTCTCCCCCCCCCCCCCCGTAGTACTTATTATGGCCCCGCCCTACCCCCAGGGGTCATGATTTGAACGATTTAGAATCTACACTACCCCAGGATGCTTCCACATAAGTTTCAGCTTTTCTGGCCCAGTGGTTCTTGAGAAGAAGATTTTTAAAGATTTTTCCTATATATTTCAATGTAAAACTTGGATTCCCTATTGTGGCCCCGCCCTACCCTCGGGGGTCATGATTGAAATAATTTAGAATCTACACAACCCCAGGATGCTTCCACATAGGTTTTAGCTTTTCTGGCCCAGTGGTTCTTGAGAAGAAGATTTTTAAAGATTTTTCCTATATATTTCAATATAAAATTGGATTCCCTATTGTGGCCCCGCCCTACCCCTGGGGGTCATGATTTGAACAATTTAGAATCTACACTACCCCAGGATGCTTCCACAAAAGTTTCAGCTTTTCTGGCCCGGTGGTGCCTGAGAAGAAGATTTTTAAAGATTTTTACTACATATTTCAATGTAAAACTTGGATTTCCTATTGTGGCCCCGCCCTACCCCTGGGGGTCATGATTTGAACAATTTAGAATCTACACTACCCCAGGATGCTTCCACATAAGTTTCAGCTTTTCTGGCCCATTGGTTCTTGAGAAGAAGATTTTTAAAGATTTTTACCACATATTTCAATGTAAAACTTGGATTCCCTATTGTGGCCCTGCCCTACCCCCGGGGGTCATGATTTGAACAATTTAGAATCTACACTACCCCAGGATGCTTCCACATAAGTTTCAGCTTTTCTGGCCCAGTGGTTCTTGAGAAGAAGTTTTTTTTTAAAGATTTTTCCTATATATTTCAATGTAAAACCTTGGATTCCCTATTGTGGCCCTGCCCTACCCCCAGGGGTCATGATTTAAACAATTTAGAATCTACACTACCCCAGGATGCTTCCACATAAGTTTCAGCTTTTCTGGCCCAGTGGTTCTTGAGAAGAAGTTTTTTTTAAAGATTTTTCCTATATATTTCAATGTAAAACTTGGATTCCCTATTGTGGCCCCGCCCTATCCCCGGGGGTCTTGATTTAAACAATTTAGAATCTACACTACCCCAGGATGCTTCCACATAAGTTTCAGCTTTTCTGGCCCAGTGGTTCTTGAGAAGAAGATTTTTAAAGATTTTTCCTATATATTTTAATATAAAATTGGATTCCCTATTGTGGCCCCGCCCTACCCCCGGGGGTCATGATTTGAACAATTTAGAATCTACACTACCCCAGGATGCTTCCACATAAATTTCAGCTTTTCTGGCCCAGTGGTTCTTGAGAAGAAGATTTTTAAAGATTTTTACTACATATTTCAATGTAAAACTTGGATTCCCTTTTGTGGCCCCGCCCTACCCCCGGGGATCATGATTTGAACAATTTAGAATCTACACTACCCCAGGATACTTCCACATAAGTTTCAGCTTTTCTGGCCCAGTGGTTCTTGAGAAGAAGATTTTTTAATGACCCCACCCAATTTTTGTATTTTCTTGATTATCTCCCCTTTGAAGGGGACTTGGCCCTTCATTTTAACAATTTAAACTCCCCTTCACCCAAGGATGCTTTGTACCAAGTTTGGTTAAAATTGGCCCAGTGGTTCTTGAGAAGAAGTCGAAAATGTGAAAAGTTTACAGACGGACGGACAGACGGACGGACAGACGGACGGACGGACGACAGACAACGGGTGATCAGAAAAGCTCACTTGAGCTTTCAGCTCAGGTGAGCTAAAAAATTATATGTAAAAGGATAACCAGAAGTAACAGCACACATGTGAACTAGCCAAAGAGGAAACCAGAAAGTGTTTTATTATCTAGTATATGTACAGGTTTCATAATATCAGAATAAGGTGGAATATTTTCAAGAAAGATTTATGAGCTGAAAGAAAGATCAACACAATCTATAAAAACTTCTGATCAATCAATTAAAATTTCTTTTGATAAAATCCTGACAGTACTATCTTTTTTGACTGAAGTCCTTTAGGAAAGATACTTATTTCAGGAAAGTGGACACAGATAAACTATGGCATATAATTTGAATAAAATTTTTCATGCTTTAACAATATTTGAACATGATGAATTACAATTGTGGGTGAGAAAGGTTTGAATTCTTTGTTTTCCTACATTTCGTTGCTTATAAAGGGAGATCACTCTATCTGTATCCAAGTAATCGCTGAAAAGTAATTCTTCTACAGAATACACAGGGATAATAAATAAAGAAATCAAAATAATAAAAGAATACCTAAAAATTATATGACAATAACTAAAACTAGAACTGTCCAAAAGGGACAAATACCCCCCCGCTGGGTTTTTCAGAGAAAGTACCAAATCACTAATGTTTTCTAGATGTGAGAGGTGTTCACAATTTCCTTAAACATTTACAGTGAAAATTTAATTACTCATTATATATTTTTATACGTCCGTCTTACGACGGGACGTATTATGTTATAGCGTTCATGTTTGTCCGTCCGTTAGCTTTTTCATGTCCGGCTCATAACTTTAATACTATTATGCCTAGAATTATCAAACTTTGTCAGCTGATACATCTAGGGTAGAAGGTGTGTCGCACATTAAAACCATGTCGTTCTGACCTTTAATAAAGACGCTATGGCCAAATATGGAAAATCATAACCAGAAAACCATTAGACTTAGAATCAAAAAAAACTGTCTTTTAACTTTTAAATTACACAATCCCAAAAGATGTCAGAGTATTGCAGTATCTTTATTAAAAAAGTGTTAAATCAAGAAAATACTAGTCTTATTTTTTTCATTATGTTCTTTACAGCAATCTGTAACAACAAAAATTCCACCTCTCCCATGGGTGTAATGATCAGGCACTGGTCAAGGAAAATTTTGATAGCAGAAAATTGCATGTCAAATTAATGAGTTTAGTGTGAGGAGATAACTGGCAGAGCATCTCTGATCAAGCAGGTGTTATCTACATCTCTTGGGAAATGGGCAAAAGGAATCAGTCTCTTAATTAATTGCTTTTGTTGTATTGAATTGTTCTTGTTGGCTAGTCTTACTTTCAAGATAAATTTGATGTAATTAAAACTAATTTGATATTGTATATAATAATTAAAACTTATATGATATTGTGTAATATAATTTAAACTAATTATTTATTGTACATTTTTTATTTGAATTTTTATATCTTTACAACAAATTGCAGACTGCCTTGTCTCGCTAAGATGTCATTCAAACAATTGAATCTAAACTGTTTATGATAATTTAACAATATTTGATGGGCGTATCATGCTGTGGTGGGGCACTTTATTAAATGAATGAAACTAAGGTGCAGCCTAATAAAACATCAACACTAATAATTACAGTGTTTTTTATTACATTGAAAAAATAGTTTGCAACTATCTGCCATCTTTGTGAGACATGACACACAGCAAATTGATTGTTGAAAAAAAAATATCATAATTAATTATAGAAAATCAAATTGATTTTAATACCTTTATATCAAACTCATTTTAAAAATAAAAGGCTGGTTTTAGTAACTATGTATTTTGACAGACATAAATTACAATTAAGAGACTTCGACAACAGAGATCTTTATTTCTTTCTGCCCAATTCCCCTGAGATATAGATAAGACCTGCTTGATCAGAGATGCCCCAACAGCTTCCCACACTGAACTCATTAATTAATCTTTAACTGGATGCATGTCCACTCATTACTCCCAAGGGACAAATGGATTTACACTATCTGCTGTGTAATGTAAAAACTGTTTTTAATACTTTGTGTTTTTTTTAGCTCTAATGAGTAGTTTTAAGCTGTAGTTCACATTTTTGTACAGATGTTCTAGATGCTATGTCTCAAACCTTAGACATGAACCCGAAATGACTAAGTCAATAAAAAAAAAAAAAAAAAAAACACCTGTAAAATGCAGAAAAATTATCAAATAATGTTGAAAATACCAGGTGCATATCTTCATATGGTAAATAATAAGTGTACAAATTTTCATACAAATCTATGCAATAGTCTCTGGGAACAGATCTCACATAATAAAAATGAAAAAAAAACACCTGTAAAATGCAAAATAATTATCCAATCATAATGAAAATACCAGGTGCACACCTTCATATGGTGAATAATAAGTGTACAAATTTTCAGACAAATCCTTCCAACAGTTTCCAAGAAATGGTCTGGACAAAATCTCGTCTACAGACAGACGGACAGACAGACGGACATGCTGATTCCAATATACCCCCCCTAAACTTCGTTTGCGGGGGGTATAATAAGTTTGTGCATATGGAGAAAAGGGTTCTACAATACAAAGCCTACTAAATAAAAAGTCAGTCTGAAAATATTCAAATAAACAGGTAGAAATGAACCTCTAAAGGGGTCATAGATAAAACACAACACTAGCACAGCAACCTGACTTACCACATCTCACATCTGTAAAGCAATATATGATTGTAAGTATTCAAGAAGAAAACATCTCATTTCACACACCATTATCTAAAAGCTTACTGCAGTATAATTTAAATATATTAAAGCCATATGTTGTATACTGTCAATCAACACTCCTATGCACATAAATTTCTTAAATTTTTGTGACAAAGATATTGAGCAAATTTTGTTTGAGTTTGTAAATTGAGTTGCATCGTAAGAGAAACAAAGAAAAGTTGGTTAATGTATAACAGTATTTGCAGAAAGCTTAAAAGCTATTGCCAAATCAATACTTGGAACATATAAATGATATAATTAAAATGCCACGACATGTTACAGAGTGTATCTATTACACTGAGAATTCTCTACACATGATAACTATTGATAACTCACCTGATCTGCACTTCCTCTGACATCATCAATTTTTAAGATCATCTTTGTCAGTTGTACAGCTAACAGAATCTGGGCTCTCTTTGATGACAGGGTCTCTATCACAGATTGGGCCTTCATGTCTGCAATACAGGGGTAGGTATTGTAAACACAACAACATAACTATAGACAACATTTATATTATATAATAATAATATATACATGTATCACTGCATCTACTATAGTTTAATAATTTATGACTTGAAAAACAAGAAATATAACAATTCTAAAAGAATTCCAACTTATTCAGGAAAAATTGAAATTGACACTCTGACATGAAAAATCTTCTAAAAGTAAACAGCCATTTAACCAATCAATGTTTCTACTTACCATTAGTCCCCTTATTGAGACAATCTATTCCTAGCCTGGGATTATTCTCCTTAACCTGTCTAGATTTAATTTCAGCTAATGTGTGGATGGGGGCAAATCCCGAGTTTTCTGCTAAAGCTAGAGGTATACTTTCTAATGCTTCTGCAAAGGATTTCATTGCATACTGTTCTAGAGTAGATATCTGTAAGAAATAAAAAAAAGATGCTCAAAATTTGCGACTTTAACCCCTGAGATCACTGGGTCTTTTCCTAAAGAAATGTGTACATCTTTCATCAGTGTTTAAGTTCCATAAGGAAACATAACCATGGTTAAAGAAGCATATTTCTCTAGCATGATGTCTGAGTCAGTTTATGAATGGTTCAAAAACTGAAATTCCTCATGCAGTTTAAGTAGTAGCAGTATATGAATAAAACTCAGTCACCCACCATATATATCAGTTCCATCATATTCATCAGTAAATTTTTACAATTTCATTGTGGACTTTTTGTAAGCAGTGACATAGAGGGTGTTGAAATCTCAAATATCATGGATATGTTGAAATGAGTTATTAACCCTATGCACTCTTTCTTTATGTATTTTAACCTTAATATCTTGCATTCCAGGATATCTCTAATTTTTTTCTAAGCCCCATTGACTTCGAGATAACAAGGTTTGAATGTATTTATACTTGTGTCACATTAAATGTCAAACATCAGTCTGAATGTCTGCTGTATACATGTATTTCACATCAGAGCAAGTGTAGGAAGAGTCAATAAATTTTCAAAAGTTTAACTGGTGTATACATTTTTGTGTCACCTTGTTGTTCGTCAGAAAGTCCTCTCTTGGTGAAAATGTCCAAATCAGGTAGTGCTTAACTTCAGTACTTTGAACAATGTTTTTTTGTGTTCAGAGATATAGTGATAGCATGTACATCTTTCATCAGTGTTTAAGTCCCAAACAGGAACATAACCATGGTTAAAGAAGCACATTTCTCTTGCATGATGTCTGAGTCAGTTTATGAATGTTTCAAAGACTGAAATTCCTCATGCATAAAACCACCATCATAACATTGGAAAATCTGCCAAATAAGTTTCTTCATCACCGATAAATTTACTTATTATATAAAGGACATGCCTCCTAACAAGTAACAAATCAATAAATTGCCATCACAATGGTGACCCTTTCTAATAAAATTAAATTTGTCATATTTTCCATCTGTAAAATCACTTTCATGCATTAATGTCTGGAAAAATAGCATCTATTCATCATACAAGTATTAGGTGGTCCATCAAAATAAATTTATTTTTAAAGACAAAGATTTCTCCAGAAAAAATTGTTTTCCCCATCAACATTGTGTTTAGATCTTTATAAAAACATAACAATAGTTTGAGGAAATCATTCTTGTAGCACAAGCCAGAGCCAGCATATGACATACACTGTAAAAACACTTGTGCGCAAGTCAACACAACATTACAAGATCACAACATTACAAGATGGTTAACTTTAAAACTCTGCTTTATACAGACCTTTTTGGCGGCCTCAGCCACAGCCACGGAACACGAGATTTCTGGAGCACCACCTCCGTACACAATCCTGTTGTCCTTAACCAGATTCCTGATCACACACAGGGCATCATGAATACTTCTCTTGCCCTCTTCAATAATCTGGAAAACGTCCAGCCCATTTCATAAGGAACTCAGATTGATGGACTTCTAAATAGTCAATACTGTGGAATCATGGTAATTTGTGGGGGGTCAATGTTCATGGGCAAGCAAAATTTTCCTTGTTTGTGGGGACATAATTTCATGGGTTACTTGTTTATTTCGTAGATTCAATAAATCAATAAGTTTACAAAATAAATGTTCGTGGGGATGTAAATTCATGGGTAAGAGTGACCCATGAAATCCATGACCAATAATGATTTCACAGTATATCAAAACATTCAAGATATAAACTGCATGTGCTACAATACCACTATAATTCATCAATCATAAACTATAAAAGAAAACATCCTAATGAATGAAAATACACAGAGACCTGGAATAATCTTTGAATAGCAAAGCTCACCTTCACTCATCTAGAAAAACTTACCATTTTGTTACCTCCCCTTATAAATATGGTGACTGCTCGTGAGTTATTGCAATCCTCTATCACTAACATTCTATCTTTAGTTGTACCAAAGGACAGTTCCCTTACAGTTCCTGCTTTTCCTAGTTTCTCTTTTGTGAGTTCCTCAAACCTGGGTACAATTCTGCCTCCAGTTGCTATTGCTATTAACTGCAAGAGTTAGACAAATGCATGGTAGAGTAGATCTCTTCTTTGTTTCAAACATCAATGTGTATCAATGTGTGTGTATTTTGTACAAAGCTTTTTCACTTTATGTGATTAGCTATTTGAAATTTCCATCTCTCAAAGTCTAAGAATTAAGAGATTCATCCTTTTTACCTCTATTTCCGGTCCTCCCACCCATCGTACAGCAGGCAGACTCCTCTGTAGTAACAGGTGGTTTGCTTCATCATCAAATCCCCACTGACAGATGACCAAATTAGCACCCGTATCTTTTACCTACATCACAATGATAATGGTATCAAGAAAGTTCATTACACATTTTTAATACCTAGTAACATGCCACAAAATCATTATTTCATCTTGATTTTAATTCACACAATATATTTTATTCAGAAAATCTGGATTTGACAGTATGCATTTCTTATAAATACAATCTTCAAACAATCATTTCAACCCAACTCAATCAGCAAACAACACTGGGGTAATACATTTATGTGACTTTTTTATGTGAGTACATCAACAGTATGCAAACCCTTACCTGCTGAACCATAGATTCAAACTTCTCCAGTTCATATTGCTTCAGCTTTCTATAATCCTCAACAGATTTCACCTCAAGGCCATGTTTGGTTTTGGGCTTTGGTGGTTCAAAGGGGCATGTCAGAATAGCTATCTTAGCATCCTTGATGTTCTGGAAAACAACAGAAAGGTTATAAAAGTTTTAACACATACTAAAAACTTTGGTAATGCAACATTTACAACAGCATATTACAGATAACATAATTTTGATTACACAATTATACTCAAAGCTAGTTCTTAAGTGGATGAATCAACCACTTTTATCATTTTCTTTGCTTACAAGAAAGCAATTACATGTTTAGAATTAAACATCTATAGATTTTTCCTTTTCTCTCTAGTAGAATAATCAATTACTTTAGGCATCTGTGGATGACTCATATCTTTGTCTACAATAACACCCTTGATGAGCATTGTATCCTCCATTTTCCCTCCAACTTTACCCTCAACTTTAATAAGCTCAAAATCTACATCTTTCCTCTCAAAGTCAGCTACTGACATGATTGCATCTACAGCTATCTCTGCCATTTGTCTATGACATCTGTTAACTCTGAAATTTAAAATAATTTGTATAAGTAAAGAGTCACTCATAATTCTGTTTTAACCTTTCAGCATATACAAAAATCAATGTTGTCAAACTTTGAGGCCTACATTTTTGAACCTAGGGTAGTCATTGCTAAACGGACCAGATCTTCTTTGTCTTTTGGACTAACTGTGAATTCTTCACTGATTTTTTCTAGGTGTTCACATGCTACTTTAGCAGCCATTTCATATCCATCAGCTACACGTATTGGATGAACTCCTCTATCTAGAAGCTTCTCTGCTTGTTCTAGAAGTGCTCCAGCCAAAACTATCAAATAAAATGATAACTATGACTGAAATTTTATTTGTTCTTACATATTTCATTTTGAAATAGTGGAGAAATGTAATAGCATTACATTAATAAAACAAATGCTATTAGAGGTATCATGATCAAATCAGGACTGGTCGACTTATTTTTGGATCCACATTAGTTATAAAAGGTGGGGCAATCTCAATAACATAAATTCTAGGAAAATATTGAGTATAAGATCAACAATTTCACTTCTCGTTTTGGTGCAAACGTTTATTAATTACAGTATTGTTGTGTCTTTACCTACTACCCCTGTAGTTCCATCTCCAATTTCGTCATCTTGTGATTGTGACAGTTGGACCATCAGCTTTGCAATCTGATGCTGTACATCCATCTGTTTCAGAATGGTAGCACCATCATTAGTCACTGTAATATCACCATCAGGACTAACCAAAAGCTTGTCTAAGCCTTTAGGACCAAGGGACGTTCTCAAGACTCCTGCAACTGACTTGGCTGCCAGAATATGGGACTATAAAAAGAGAACGGACAATGTATTGGTTAGCTGCAATAATGTAGCCCTCTCCGATTTTTTTTTTGGGGGGGGGGAGAGGGCTACAACTCCTTAGGATCTCCGTAATGGTGCAAGTGCAGGAGTGATTCACTACCACACAGATTTTGGCTCAAATTATCAGTAAGTGGGTATCTTATTAACATATCTTACCTGAACTCATAAGATGTAGTTATGCAAGACATGAATTGATCCAAAAATATACAGAACAATCCGTATATCGGTTATTTTTCGTGTATGTCAACATCACAACTTAAATTTATCAGCCATGTTTACCGATCTTGATCGATTTTATTTTGGAACAACCAATGAGAAATCGGGATCTAGGGGAACGGATCATTTAGGATTTCCCTTATTTTAAGCATAAATATCACTGTTTATGAAAAAAATATCACATGGGATGCTTTTATTTATCGATGTTTAGTGATATCATACAACACAAACATTTATCAACACCGACATTTACTTTATCAAGTGCTTCTAAAATTCAAGCGCAAGTCTAATAATGCATGTAAAAATCACTCACCAAATTAGTCTCCTTAAGAGACTTTGTACTCAAAGTTCTAAAAGTTTTGGGGCTATATAAAGCAATTGATACAGTTACTTCTTCAATGAAATTATAAAGGAGGCCAATTATGGTCAACAAGATAATTGATTGGTAATAATTCAGTACAATGAGAAACAATCATACTTATCCATGCCTCAACACACACAAGTGTACAGTTACCCAAACAATAGAAATTCATCTTTTGCTTAAAGTATTCAAATGCTGCAATGTTAGAACTATCTTTGATTTGGGTTGTTGATTTGATAACCCATATTACATATATGAATAGTCAAATACTTGTGACTTTTTGTCTATTTTGTACAAATAACATTTTTGTGAAAACCTGCATATAAATAGCTTTATCAAGCTATTTTGAATAGCTTAATAAAGCTATATATATATAGCCATTTCAAGCTATATAGCTTAATCAAGATTGTGCTGGACCTGTAGAAGGTAACAAAGCAGAATAACTTGCAAAAACAATGTACTTCCTCGTGCCCTCGGGAATATACATTTAATTTCATTAATTCTAAACATGCAAAGGCTGTAAATGTGACTGTGGTTGCTCAGTTTTTGATATACAATGTAGAACTTGTTTAAACATGATCAAACTACATAAACTTTTAAGACTCAAAAAGCAAACTTTACACTTAATGTATGAATTTCATGGAAAAGTTTATGTTTAATGTGATGAAATGTCAAATTAAATCAAACACTCTTCTTAACAAAACTTTTAGTTTTACAGTGACATGAGTTTGTAAACAATGTCATGCTGCATTCCTTACTTTGTGGGCCTCGATTCCTGTCAATCGTGACTTCCTTTCTTGGTCCCTGATGATAATAAAAGGTCTTCCATATTCATCAAACGCTAACGAGCCGCTCATGATTAATATTTCCTAATTACACCGGCGATGATGTTGGATATCAAATAGGAATTTTCATCGAATGTGCGAGAAGAAGATTTTTAACCGGAAGTTTACCATTAAAATCTATGTTCATATCGGAATTCATTTTATACAAAACGAAATCAACATTTATTACTTGATTGTAATTTATTATATTTGAAAACTGGATTTTATGTACAATTTGAGTAATATTTTGTTGAAACAAAATATTATAAGTAAATTTACCAAGAAAAGGAAAGCATTTTACATTGTTTACTTTTTTCGTTTTGTAGAATTTCATTACATTAATCCTCTGTAGTGGATATAAACAAACTTCATAGCAACTTCAAGTGCACACCGCTAAATTAGTTTCAGAAACATAAAACGTGCATTTGCAAGACAAGAACTATGGCATTCTTTGGCATAACCCAATTGGGTTATCAGAATACAATCCGTGAAGGGACGATCCAAGCCAAAATGGATCCAATTCGCTCAAAAACCCAAATTGGATTTGTAGCCCTTCCTCCCCTGAAGGAAAAAAATCCCCCTAGACGATCTATTGTTCCCATCGATCAGGTTTCAGGTTATGGCCCTGGACCACAAGGTTCATATGGGGAATACACAAGGATGAGGACAAAGCATATCAGAAATCCCAAAGGTTTGTTTTCCCTGTGTAACTTGTTTTATTACTTTGCACAATACATGCAATATATACATATATGTTTGATGCAGGCAGAGCTGCACTTGCACATAGGATAGACATACATATTGGAGGTAAAACACAAAGGCTTGCAGCCAATAGTTTTTATAAGTATTATATACAATGCATACATTATATAACTCTATGGATTTTAAGTATGTTGAATTTAAAATTATCAGGAGCTGGGGAGGGGGAGGAGTCATATACATGTGTATATGTCATTCATGAGACACATATGAAACATAATAAAATTATCAATAAAGCATGTGGATCTGCTTGAAAATTGAGTATTCACTATACATTCAAACAATTATAAGCAATAAATCTACATATGTCCTCTTTTGGATTTTAAATATTGATATAACATTGTTATATCAATTTAATATTTAAAATCCAAAAGACTAACATTAATATCTTTCCAAATTTCCCTCCCCCAACCCCCATCTGCCAATAAGAGGAGTAAATTTTTAAGTAGATTTCACTGCAATATACAGTTATTTAATGTCTGATCAGTGAATAGACCAGAATATTTTTCCCAAGGTGTTGGGGAAAATATTTTGGTCTATTGACTGATCAGACATTAAATAACTGCTTTATTAATTAAACATATTTACATTTGCTGTGCTTTTCTACTAAGCCAACTGTGAAATTGATTTGAAAGTCATATTTGTGTATACTCACGCGTAGAAATATAATGTTACTAGGTGAAACTCGTGCTAAAGTGACATCACAATGAGGCTACAGAGACGAAAATAAAAATGTAACGATATAGGGCAGCAAGAAATTCAAATATAATGAGTATATTATTGGTGCTTTTTAACTTGTAAAATGTAAATATAAGGAATGTTTTTAAGTTTAGTGTGAATTATTGACTTGCACGTAGGCATATTTTTCATGAAGCGCTAGCAATACACACCAATAACTCACACAAAACTTAAAAACATTCCTTAAATATACTGAGTATTTGACCACTGCCAGTCCAATATATGACTGATCCAATATTTGCCTACTGTTGACTGACTGTCCAATAGATTGCCAGTCCAAAATTCACCAAGTAATGATCAACAGTCTAATAGATAGCTTTAAAGACTTACTTTTAAAAAAAATTCATGTGGATTATAAATCCATTGTATTAAGTAATAAAATTTAATACAGACTTGTAAGCCTAATTGCAGATAATGTATGAAATGTTGTATTTAGTGCTTAAGAACACCCTAATGGTCAATAAGAAGGATCTAATTTGCTTTGAATCTCATTCAAATAACACTTGTCCAGATTGTACGTATGAATATTAAATAATTTAATTCTGGTTATAACACGGTATTTGATTGGATAAAAAATTTACTTTATATTGTATAAATTGGGTTGTCTACGTCACAATGACTTGCCATCAAAAACGTATTGATCCACCTGGCATTACATTTAAATTTTTGTACGATTTGAAGTAATTTTAAGGGCAATCATCTTTTTTCTTACACTAAATGAATGAAAATTAAATTATAAGGAATGAAATTAATAGCTACCCAATTTATACGGTATAAAGTGGGTTGGAACAGTTTACGCTTTTTTTTAACCGCTTTGCGGTTTATAAAGCGTAAACTGCCCCAACCCTCTTTAATCATACCGTATAAATTGGGTAGCTATTAAATTCATTCCCTAAATACATTTCATAGTAATGTACATTTATCATATTTTTAATTCATTGAAATATAATATACATGTATATATGTATTTTTTACACAGAGCCCTTTGAGATTTACAGATTCCCCCTTCACACATCTAGAGAGGTAGGATGGTGGACAAAGGAGGCCCCACTGAAGAAAAACCAGCCCTGGACATATGTTCCCCGCCATGTTCATGTCAACAGTGAAATGACAAGGTAATTCTGTTTTTATCAAAAGTAAAATATATACTCCATTTTATGGAAACTAGAATCTAGCTCTGTGGTCTGTCCAAGGTATATATATATATATATAATTTTTTTTAACAAAACATGTATTATCAATTTATCATGCATCCAATTTAAAATTAATACATCCATGAGAGAAATACATGTATATATAAAGTAATATTTCAGTAAAAAAATTTTTAACTTAACATGTGTGTAAAGATTTAAAATGAAAAACAATTTTTGTCATAAGTCACTCTACTATAAAACTGGATTGTTGTAACTGTGGCAGACAGGTAAGTTTGTTTGCCAGTGGTCAGATAGCTGAACTTATAGAAGTCCATCTAGAGTTCAAAGGGTCAAGATTCTAACCCTGCTCTGGTCCATGGCATTTTCTCCATTACATAACAATTGCAAATTCCAACCACTGATACGTGAAGTTTGCTAGTCAGGCCTACAAGTGGCCTCTAAAATTTAGGTGCCAGCTGGCGCCTTATCAAAAAAAAAATTTAGTCGCCAATGCAAATTTTTAGTCGCCAGGCAATTTTTTTTAAGACACCAACTTTAAAAGTTAATAGTAATCAATATAGGGACCAATGACGTGACTAAGAAAACACGATACATTCATTGCTAAAAATAATTTCCTCTTCTTTTAAAGATTTTTCTTTTCGCTTTTTCAGAAAAAATGTTAAAAATGTTAAAATTTCCGGAATCTGACGATCACCAAGTCAATTTAAAATGGTTGCCAATTGGCGACTTGTGGAAAATTTTTAGGTGTCAGTCAAAAATTTTAGATGCCATGGCGACTAAATTAGTCGCCAATTAGAGCCCTGCTAGTGTACCATAGCATATCTTTGCTGCATGGGTATATGACACTTATCTTATGGTGTAACTTTTTATGTATTTCAGATTTGTGAATGAAATGAGCCTTACCAACAGGGAGTTTACCTTGTTTTAATATTTCTGTCATATAGTTATGAAAATTTACATCGAGCCAAAGTAAAGTGGAATAAATGTCTGAGGAATACATGGATAATAGTAGACAAGATCTGATTCAAGACTTTTATAACAAATTTAATATTTTGTTCTCTACTGACCTTCAGTTATTGCACTATGTGCAGTCAATTTACCATAAAAAAAGCAATTACTTAATCATTGTTCCATATACCAAACACTAATATTTTTGCACCTTTACTTGTAATCTTTTTACTTGGAAGCATTTGAAACACTATATCTAATGATTTACACAATATGCATATTATACACATTTGAATGTTATTTATACAGTATGTATTGTATAAATCAGAGATGAACATATGATTAATACTTGTCAATTTATCTATACAATTATTACCTGGTATATTTACACATATTTTCGAAACAAACAAGTTTACAATAAAACATCCTTAAATTTGAAATGCATTGAAATAAATAATTATCGTACATTAATTGTACTTTTAAAAAAATATATTGTTCTGGAGTTTGTTTTTCAGCTTTGTAGTTCATAGAATTGATCATATGCATGTAATATTTTATGATGATTTGATAACTAGAATTTAGTGTTATAAACACAATCATGTGAACATTTCTTGATTTCATCTTGCAGAAATTATTTAGGAGAAAATCTTTTACAAAATCATGAGTTAAAAATCATTTTTCATCAAAACCAAAATGGAAGCCATTTTGATTCATCTCTTTCACCTATTTAATATGCCAACTGTACCTCAAGTTCCTAAGACTAATAAATTATTTATGAACAAAAAGCAAATTCAGTTTGAAGGACTCATTATTGAGAATATTACTGATATTCTATTCATATCATCAGTCTCTTAATTATTAGCTTAATTAACTCTGATTGTGAGCCCTAGTGTAGCAGGTTATTGTACATGTTTATTTTGTCTGATGTGAATTAAATCACAGAATTTGCAAGTGTTTTGCTGTTGAATTTTTGCACATATCGCTATACTGTTTCGGCTTTTTGTTGATGTACGTAACTTTATTAATTGCTTTTATTTCTGTACTTATACTTCTTTAAGAATCATGTGTTCATGTCTTTGTTTTGAGAAATATTTGTTGTTTTAATTCTCAATAAATCAAAATTATTACACCTTAATATAAATATATATTTCTTTTCATTTTTCATTGCAACTATTAAAGTATGTTGTTCTGAATTCACAAAAAAAAAATCATCACAACTACATCTGTAATAGAATTACCAAGTTGTTACCATCATAAAAACCACAGAACCTTATTTTACATTTGGTAATTATTGGCTTTCATCTGTATTTATTTTGATAGCATCTTTCTCTATACACCCCCACCCCCACCACCACTATCCCATTTTCATTTGAAAATCTGTACGGAACAGAAAAAAATATTATTAACAAATGAGGGCATTTGATCAAACAGGTAAAAATTTGGTGATTAGTAATTTTTTTTATTATCTGCGAACACATACAAATGTTGAAATACTGACATTTATCAGTCTCTCTGACAGTTTATATTCAGGTCAGGGTTGTCTGCAGATTATCAATACATTTGCTTGGAAACAATGGTATGTCCATAAGGTTGTTTTCAAAATTCTTTTCTCCATACATCTGCTTTTAATTAGTATTATAGTATTATCAACAGTTCTTTTTCTGTTGTTGGTGGTGATACATGTATGTCAGTTTGTGTGTTCTCTCTCTCTCTCTCTCTATATATATATATTTAAAATATATAAACTGTATGAGAACCTCTGTAATTTGATATGAAAAAATGAATTTTTCCACTCCTTGAAATAAAAATTTCGAGGAGATGATGTTTGTTAAATTAACAATTATACATTTTATTACAAAATTTTTAAATATTTTGACCCTCATCTTACCCTTGAGTCAAAAAAGCAAATAAACACTGGACAAGGGGCAAAAAAGCTAGCTCTTTGACTAGCTCTGACTGTTGATGATGCCTTAGTTCTGTCCCTTATATGCAAGATAGTAAATTATGTCAACATGCAAGTTATAAATCTTTACCATGAATGTGATTTTATTAATATGGGCAAATTTACTAAACTAATGCAAGTCTCAGACATGCAAGACTGGGGGGTGTTGACCAGTTGGGGCTTTTGGAGGAGGGGGGGCAGTTGGGGCTTGGGGGGGGGGGGCAAAGCCCTTGCTCGTTCTCAAGTTTTAAGTGGGTTTTTTTTTCAACAAATTTTTGACTTATTTTGCCTATATTTTAGGTATAATTAATACAATATCATACATCAAATAAATTGTTTTATTAATCTTATGTGTATGTATATTTTTGGTCGCAAAGGGGGGTGGGGGTGGACCCCCTGAGCCCCCTCTAAACCCGCCAGTGTATATGATGTCAGATGCTAGTGTTAGTACATGTACATGTACAGTCATCTTCGCTAGCCAAGGGTTTCTGATACGCTACTCTCCTCATAAGTTTATGAGGAGAGTGGCATATCAGAAACTCTTGGCTAGCGAAGATGATGTACAGTAAAAATCGGTTTTAAGGAAATCTTGGTTATAGGGGGTTTTTTATGAATCCCCTTTGTTCCTCATACGGATTTAATAAAATCTTGGTTATAAGGATTAAAATTCGAAGTCCAAGTGACTTTCTTAAGAGGGAGTTTTAGTATTACTGTATGTAAATTTGCATGTATAAATGTCAGATGCTGGTATTATTAATGTAAATCTACCCACCTACCTTGTATATTAGATAAAATCAGTCTCACTAAAAATGTTGGTAACTTGCAAGCCAACTTATTATCAAGGATGAATACTCATATATCATTATCTTGTATGTTGACAAAATTCATCTTGCATAGAGGGGCAGATATATATGACAAGCTTTCACAATAAAAACAACAACAAGCTTTCCCTATAGCAAAGAATCCCCCCCCCCCAGTTGAACAGCTATAACAAACTCTCCCCCGGGGGAAGTTATGCTATAGAGCAAACTTAAGATATTCTGCACACCAGATCTTCCTACATGTACATTTACCTTATCGGTTTAATTTTTACACCTTCTTTTTTTTCGGGGGGGGGGGGGGGGGGTTGGGGGTTAATTTTTAATATCCATTCTCATTGTTTAGAATGCTTTTTCACAATGTAAATGTAATTGTTTACAATTACATTTGGAATTTTAACGGTCCAAAATCTGAATGTTAGTTGTCAATTAGGATGCGTCTTATAAATTTTATTGCAAACATTCCGAGGGGGATGCTATAAAGGGGGGGTTGGGTTGCTATATATAAATGGCAATCATTCCTAGGGGGAAACTGGCAGTATAACATTTCTTCCGTAGGGAAAGATTTGCTATATTACAAACAATTCGAGGGAAGTTTTGCTTTATATCATATCTTCCCAAGGGAATTTCTGCAAGGGGTAACTTGTGCTATAGAACACAACCATACGGATTAGCTAAAGCTAAAAAATGCGTGAAGGAAACAATATTTATAATTCTTGATTTCCAGATGCGCTGTCTAATTGTAAATGTCGTTTGCACTTTGATGCTATTGGTGTATTGCGAGGGTGGAGTGGTCAAGTGTCGAGCAGGTTGTGGCGACGAATTTGGGGACTGCTGTGTGACCCTGTGCCATGGTAACGTCCGACATCAAGGATTTCTCCACGAGTTGCATTGCCACTACAACGTAACAGTTGATGTAGATTCACATCATCACTGTGGGCACGAATGCCACGAGAAATTCCTCAACTGTACCATGGCGTGTGGAAGCATTGACCCTAATCTGCTTGGGAGATAAAAAAAAGATACCTATGTCAAATCACGCAAATTTGTCAGATCTACTTAATGTTTTATAAATATATATACACGTATAACATTGATTTTAGTAATAAACTATATCTTTATTTGGGGTTGGGGTTGGTAAAATTATGATTTCTCAATGATCAAATTGTGAAATAAGTAAAGATATCATAAAGGAAAGAATTTTATATTGTACTACATGTCTGGACCACAGGTGCTTGACGTTTATAACCTTTCTTTCCATAAATAAAAAATCCCATACTATAATAATAACGTTTATAACCTTTCTTTCCATAAATAAAAAATCCCATACTATAATAATAACGTTTATAACCTTTCTTTCCATAAATAAAAAATCCCATACTATAGTATGGGATTTTTTATTTATGGAAAGAAAGGTTATAGACGTTATTATTATAGTATGGGATTTTTTATTTATGGAAAGAAAGGTTATAAACGTTATTATTATAGTATGGGATTTTTTATTTATGGAAAGAAAGGTTATAAACGTCAAGCACCTGTGGTCTGGACTAGTATATCATACCAAGTAACGATTAGAGCGAAAAAAGTTGAAGATAGCGAAGTGATCCATTTCAAAAAACAAACAAACAAACAATACAAATCTGTCAATAGGGCATACGAAACGGATCATTGGAAATTCCAGAGGTGGGATCAGGCGCCCAGGAGGAGTAAACATCCCCTGTCGACAGGTCACACTCAACGTGCGCACTTTGTATTGATCAAGTGGACGGAATATTAGTAGTCAAATTTAGTATAAAAACAAAGGCTAACAGTTGGTATGAAATATGTAAGTCAAAATACCGCCCAATGATACACTGTATTTGCTAACAAGGTCATTATAACGACCATAGCATTTACGAAATGCTGACATTAAACGAGGTTGCTGAAATCCCTGTAACATCAATTTATCTGAGAGTAGTCTGCCTCGGCTAGATTGTGCTCGGAGGATGCTCTTGAGTATCGAATAAGTTCGGAGACATGAAAACCATATACAGGTGATAGCGGAATATTACTGCATAAATAAGGATTTAAAGTTGACTATACAAAAGCTGAAATTATCTCGTTTGTCATACAATTCAGTTAATTGTTAGTTGGCCTTTATCGTCAAGTCAGTAAAGCATCCAAATATGAAACAGATGTGGCAGACTCTATGGTGTCTTTTAATTTGAGTTCACTGGGATATATCGAGTCGACATATGAATGGGAGTAACTATTGTTAATTGATAAAAAGTCATCGATATACCGGTATCTGAATGTTGAGTTGAAGGCCACATCAAATGTCTTCTTATGTGCAAGTTTTCCAATAAATTCTGCTTCACGAGAATATAAAAAGAGGTCAGTAATAAATGAGCACAATAAATGCATGCCTATCGGAATTCCAACAGTTCGTTGGAAAACCTGATTCCCAAAGACTACATAGATGTTGTCAATAAGGAACTCCAGCATCCTTTTGTTATCAACTCCTGAGTACTAGTACTTGTGTAGAATCAAAGTGATTTTCAACAAAGTAATGTTGATGACCAATCACAAGATATGAAAATTTCTGAGTTTCATTTTTATTGAAGAAGCAGTTGTGTCTATATA